CCGTCAATGATGAACAGAGGAAAACACTCAACCAGCTGAGCTATAATTTCCTGGCCATGGCAGGTCCGATGTTTTGGATGCGTATGATGCTCTACCTCGATTCGTTCAAATTCTTCGGCGCCATGTTCGTTGTGCTGAGAGTGATGATGAAGGAGAGCTTGATTTTCTTTGCCCTTCTTTTCGTCATTATTGGAGGGTTCTTCCAGGCGTTTTACGGAATGGCCCAGGCAGACGGCGAACTCGCTCTTACCAGGGGTATTATACAAGGCATGGCGAACAGTGTCATGCAGAGCCCGGATTTCGGCGTATTCGAGGAACTGGCGTTCCCGTTTGGTCTCGTCCTCTACTATTTGTTCAATTTCATTGTCATGATTGGTAAGTCGGTCGCCTCGCAGCAGCGACCGGGGGTTGATTTGCTGACGGGGAATAGTTTTGCTCAACATCTTGATTGCACTCTACAATAGCGCTTATGAGGATATCTCCGGCAATGCTGTGGACGAGTACATGGCGATCTTCGCTCTGAAGACAATGCAGTTTGTTCGAGCCCCAGACGAAAACGTCTTCATTCCTCGTGAGTTTTCCTATTGTTCTGCAGACCGGGCATTAACTAACGGCGAGCCTAGCGTTCAACCTCCTCGAAATCATCTTTCTGGTCCTTCCCTTCGAGTGGTGGATGCCGCGCGAGCACTACGCCAAGCTGAATGAGGTCATCATGGGTATTATCTACTCACCACTCTTACTCATCATCGCAACGCTCGAGACCCGCGAGGCACGCCGGATCCGGTGGAATCGTCGCCAGGGAGAAGAGGATGACGATGTTGTTCACGAGTGGGAGGATGTTGCTGAGGAAGTTGACTTTGACGTGGACGACACCTGGAGACTGGCCGTGCGGGACACCACCCCAGATCCGAATGCAGAGAACTGCACCCTGGAGATCATACAGCTGCGGGAGCAGATCAAAGAACTCACAGCTGTGGTCCATGCGTTCATCGAGAAGAAGGATACGGCGGAGCACATGAGGGAGCAATCAAGTTCCAATCAAGCTGACGCGGAGTAGGATCTATGTATAGGATAGTTGTCTTGGTTTGATATTTTTGACGCTTTATTGGTGCCTTTGTTGATATGATGGCGATCTCATTGTGATTTATATTAGTTGACTATGCGCCTTGATGTCTGCATTGTATGCTTTCGTACCTGACATAATAATATAAACTAGTTCATCCTTACAAACTCTGTGATTCACAACGAAAGCTTGAGGTATTCAACTGTCATGCTGACGTGTGTTTGTATACCTGACTTCCCATGAGCAAGTGGATTACGTGGCTGCCCCTGGACCATATCCCCGCACCTCTCTTAAATCAACGACAAATGCATCTTCAGCCTTTTCCTCCTTAGACAAAAACGCTGTTAATTAGTCTAGTGGCATGTGGCGGTTTATCAACCAGAAGACCGCTAAATGGCAGTCTTGCCAGTTAGAAACTTGCATTAAACAGCTCGATCCCATCCAACAGCATGACTGACCACTCCCCCACCTTGCTCTATGCAGGAGAACACTTGGATACAGTCGCAGGATTCCCAACACTCTACACATTCAGTCCTGCAAATCGCGACAATCCTCTGATTGTGTTTATACCGGGTGGCGGCCATAATGCTCGCATCTCATATGGTGGCCATCCTGGAAGTCGCAGTGAGGACTTCTTAGCCCACTGGCTAAATAAGCTGGGCTACGGCCTACTTGCCATCTCGTACCCGCTCCAGAGCCAGCCGGACGAGATCATGGCTGCAACATCACCAGAATTTCGTATCCGTGATTGGGGTCTGCAAGCAGCGGAGGTAACGAAGATGGTGATCGAGAGGCATGGCCTGTCACCCAAGGTCGTGCTCGTTGCTTGGAGTATGGGCGGCCGGGTAGTGGTTCCGTACACGCAAGCAGCGAAAGCACGGGGATTAACCGTTGAGCTATTTGTGAGTTTCGCGGCTACTCCTGGACTGGCGGCTTCTCGGCCTACTGCCCCTGGTATCAAAATGACGTCCGAGGGGTATGCTGCATTGGATAGAATGTCGGAGCTTTTTTTGAACCAGGTCCATGAGCAGAATATTTTAAACTCCCGTGTCATTATTCCGGACGACGTGTATCTCCGCGACTACTACGGGCGTACGCCTGTCGGCTTGCTCGGCTTTGGCATGAGCTATTCTCCGGAGCGCGGGTTTGTTGAAGATCGATATACCTCAACGGAAGATGCCGACGCGAACAACTTTCGTCAATGGCCTTTGATTTCTGCTCTGCACGGTGACAGCATCCTGGACGGACGGCATGTACTTGCGGACAAGGCCACCTGGGGATTCATGCAGGTGCAGCAGCTTGTGAGTACTCTCGAAGGTCGAGGTTATAGATCGCTGAGCCCTGAGCGCTGGGAGGAGGTTGTTAAGCTGGTCCACTCACGGCCGGAGAATATGTGCCGGCAGATTCATGGTAATCACTTTTTCTTCCTGGGGGAGCAGGGCGCTCGTGAGACGGCGGCTGCCATTGTTGAACAGCTGAAAGAAGCTCAGATCTTCATGTCGACGCTTGACACTCTGCTTGCGTCCTGAGGTCATCTTCACAGCTTCTTTACTCGTACTGGACATTTTTTGACTGCAATCGCCTCTGCGTCGAGTAAAGTATCTCTTTGATTGGTCTGGTGACAAAGTCCCCGTCGACGGAGTACTTGGTCTGTTTCAGCCTAGACTTGCTTTTTCGCGACTCCGCAGCTGGGCTTGGTTGGAGCAACTACGATACCTCAGGAATAGCGCAGCATGCGTTGACAGTGGTGGTCGATGCTGGTAGTCATGGACAAGAGAGAGGAGAAAAATTGCGGAGCAAAAAAGAAAGCCGAACGCGGGGGTCGAACCCGCAACCTTGAGATTAAGAGTCTCACGCTCTACCGATTGAGCTAGCCCGGCTGCTCTTGTTGAAGCAGAGTTGCATTAATACCCTATGATTCCACGCTGCTCTCAAAAAATATAGATATTCTTTGCTCCCGTACCTACCTTTGTTAGCAGCGGGTGACTTGCACATCTACCTAGTCAATAATTAATGGACCATATTTTTGATCAATAACCAGGATACAGTCAGCGCCTCAATTGCTCCATAACCAAAGGCCACTATAATATTCTGTCCGTATTGAAATGTGGTGATCCCCTAATACTTAAGTCTGAAGGCACTACTGGTCCGTTACCATCGAAAGGATATGCCAAGGTTGGGAGGGGTCTGAATGGTTCTTTGAAGAGCGCGAGTGTCTACTTACCCCTACTAGCATGTTGCTTGTTCGTATCATAGTGGGAAAGGTAGCAGATGGGAATCGCCTTGTCGATTTTGAGGAATACTCCTATTCGGCAAGGTCAACCAGGTTCAAGATATCTCCAAAGTCTTTTTGACGGATCCGTTCCATAGCCAGTTCTTCAGGCATTGCTTGTAGGAATTTGTCAATCTTATACACCCAAAAAGAGTTCTGTGGGTTGACCTGGTGGGCAGAAGTGTATTTCTAATAATGGATACCAACCAGTGCAAGAAGTTTTCCCTTTAGATCTTTGCTTTATCTAACCCAGCCACTGCTAATTATGTCTCTCTTAATCCTTTCTATTATAATGTAAGTATAGACAGAATGAGTAAATACACATAAGACTTTTAGCACTGGGATAGATGTATGTTGCGATATTAGATACATTATCAATGCTTTAGGTAAATGCATGTAGCCCATATTTAACACATATTCTATCTGTTGATATGAGAACATGCCCTTCTTAAGGTTAAAAAGCTTAAGGGCTCCGCTCGCTAGAAGTGTCAAGCACTGATTAACAAAATTGCTATTGACCGGGTTAGATACACTCAACAGAGGAGTGCATGGCGAGGAGGGAGGCCCTTTTTGACTCGACGACATTATGATTGCATTCGCTAAACAGGGAAGTGTTGGAAATATTTCATTCCTGGTCTGCAGAGGTGTCTAAGTATGGATATTAAGGGATCCAGTGGTTGAAAATATGCAGTACTGTATTAGAACAATAGTCTTCTGTAGGAAGTGATGTGAGGACACTTGAGGTTTATGCTGGATATCCTTAACTTCTTGCACATGATACCATGTAAATACTAGGTCTATCCTCAGGCTGGTGATCACTGTATTTAATACTACTGCTAAACATAAAAGCTCTATAACTTGAGCTCATCCATTATATGATCCATAGTCAATCACCATGGCAATATCCTGCCATTCTTTGGCAGCACAGTATCCTTCTTGGATTGGAGCCAACAGAGCACTCAATCCATTAGCGACGGATGGTTTGAAAACTGAGGGGTCAACTATAGAACCGGTCAGAATAGGTAGTACAATCCGGGACTAAGTACGAGAAGCTATACCACATCGTTTCGGTAATCATCATGCATTTGATCAGTTGTGAAATAAACCAGAGGCTCCAAACCATCCTGTTCCCGGTTAACGCGGAATTCTCGCCGTCCTTGCAAGCTCGACCGCTGGCAGCAGAGTGTGCTCAACAAACGCCAGAACTCCGTTCCCCTCATCAACTCGTCGAATCGCGATGGCTTTATGGATCTTCCTGCTCAAGACCTCAGGGGGTTCAAGGAGGTCTATTTTGCTGTCTTTGACTTTCAGCACAAGATGTCTCGCACGGCCATGGACTTTGTAACCAGGGTCGCTTGAGCTCTTTTACCACTATGTAACTAAGGAACCATCGCGTTCATGATATATGCGTGCTAGAGCTGTTAACAGAACAGTGGTATGCAGACCTGTTCATACACAAGCTTTAGCAACCACTCCTTGGCCGCAATGAACAGCTTGCGTTAGTCCAGACCTACACTGATTAGCTCATTCGCCTCAGGCTGAAAGCTATCTACCTCCAAACTAAACATCAACATCCAAGTACTGTTCATCCAGCACCTGAATAACGGGGTAAAGAAGACCACTCAATGGAGCATTATCGGTTTGTTTGAGGATCTCAGCACCCGCTCACTTCGCATCATGTTTGGATATGAGCGAGCCAAGCCTGTACATATCCAAGATATACTGAGGGCTCCTCTGATAGGAGCTGCCCAAAACAAACTTGAGCTTCTCCGTAGAAACGCCCACTGCGCGCAGTATGGCTGTGATGGTGTACCGGTAGAATTCGGCCCGCCCTTCCACCAGCTCAATCGGGGTTTTCAGGTTGTCGAGGAACGAGTTGATATCGGTCAGGAGCACCGTAGGTCGCAGCCAGCCGCTAGCAGCTGGGCTATTTTGACGGCTGGGACGAAGTAGGCGCCCTGCGGCCGGCCAGTCGTAGCGGTACCTAATTATGAGTATCGGCGAAGTTCTATATCTAACAAACGATACAGTGTCGTTGTCAAAGCAATCTAAGTGACACACCCCAGTATATCCGCGGGTTGTTACTTTCAGCGATGATCTTCTCGACCATTTCGGAGTTCAAGACCTCGCCAAGGTTCTCTTGAATGCGAGCCCGTCTCTCGGATGGCTCCATGCTGGCCTGTCTAGGGGATTTCTAGAAGTACGAACATTTGTGTGCTCTATGGGTATAAACAGGGCTGGAGACATATTATATAGCCCTCACTTGGCGTCAAGGAGGTAGATCTTATTGTTCTCCGTAGCTTGTAGACTACAAGACATAGGGCATGGAGTTAGACGATACAGCTACTTAGGGTTGGTCTCAATATTTTTGTTCCACTCAAATTTGATGTTGTTGGACACTGAAAACGACCAGTAAGTGAATCTAAATACTTATCACAGATAAAGAATTTACATAGTGGCCGTTGGTACAATACCCTAACATGAGACTCCTACTCTTCTAGCAGTAGGATACTATTTATCAGTTGAACTAGAGTAACCGCATAATATAATCAGGCTTCATAGCTAAGAATTCCCTTATAAAAGCAAAACAGAAGTGCCTACCAACAAGAGCAGCCGGGCTAGCTCAATCGGTAGAGCGTGAGACTCTTAATCTCAAGGTTGCGGGTTCGACCCCCGCGTTCGGCTTTCTTTTGCTTTTTCAGTCCGTCAACGGGAGGATTTTTGACTGGAGAGTAAATTGAAGCCGTTAATCTGGTCCATTCTCTGTTACTTATTGTTCATGATAGAAAAGTTATAGAAAAGTTGTGGTCTTGTTCTATGTCCCACACCCAGTCCAGTGCGTAGTGGGTTTACTGCTGCTCCATGTGCTGGCTTTTATGACTCGTAGCCTGCGGTGCCCTAACTACGTGGCTGCAGGTAGCTCGGAGTGTACAATTATCTTCTAAACATCAAAGCATACTAGTATATGTATGTGTGTTTTCAGACCATATGAAGAAGAACGTTGAGGATAACCATCATAAGAATATAGCTTGAATTCATTGAGTCTCACTAAATCCTTCCTGTATGTATAGTTGTTTATGACGAATCCCTAGCAGCACAGACACCCAGACTATACAGATAGAATAACCATCTAGCTCCCAAGCCAACTCTGAAAGCCCAAGCCCCCATCCGGAAAGAAAGACTCCCACCCAAAATCCGGCCCAAGGCCTTCCATCCCCGCCGCCACCAGTGCCGCCTCATCAGGCGACGCCATCCGGCTCGAGCCGGTATCCTCCCTCGTCTTCAGCAGACTATCGCACAACTCCAAGCTATCCTTCGCAGCGCGCGCAACCCACAGCTCAATCTCTCCCCCCGCCTCGACCGCCTCAGCCTGAGCGAGAATCATGCTTAGAAACATATGGTTCTTCACATTCGTCTCACCCAGCCGGATGCGCTCCTCAGACAGCGCGATGAGGTCGCGGACAGCCTGCTTGAGGAAATCGCGGTACTGGCGCGTACGTTGCATCGTGCCGTTAAGTCGCTGGGTTTCAACATGCGCCAGTAGCTCGAGGCTGATTGCTGAGGTGGCGCACCGGATGCCCTCGCGGAAGAGACCACCGGCGGTAGCCATGAGCCGGGCAAACGCTGGGTCTGGCTCGGGAGAAACCATGGCGAGGGCGGCGTCGAGGCTGAGCTTGAGCGAGTAGTGGAAGAGGGGGTTGGTGCGGGCCTGGTTGCTGAAGGAGTAGTGTAGGGGGATCATGAAGCGGCGGATTAGGTAGTCTAGGAGGTTTCGGTGGAAGGGGGTAGATCCGTTACCGTCTTTGATTTGGTGGCTGCATGCATGGAGGGCGTGGATTAGCTCGGAGCTGAGGGAGAGGACGCGGTCGTAGGAGATTTCGGAATGGGGACCGTTGAGGAGCTGAACGATCTGCAGGCGGATGGGCAGCGATTCGATTAAGGCGAGCTGGGTGGATGTACCTGTGAATGTGTCCTTGGCGTACGGCTGGAGCTCTGTCGTTGACTCGTCGAGCTCATCATCGTTGATGTTGGAGGGTGGCTCGGTATCGAATTCGTCAAAGGAGATTCTCGGCGGCATCCAGGAATCCAGGGACGCCTGGACGACGGATTCGAGAATAGTGTACCAGAGCCTCCGGCGCAGCTCGGCTTGTAGAACTGATATAGCGGGGAGGTGTTTTGGGTCCCGGTGTAACCCGAGTTGCATGGCGCTGTGGACAAGCGATCCGATCGAGATCCATATCGTGTCAGCGCCGATGGAGAAGATCTGCCGGGCCAGAATACTCAAGCAGTAGATTTGCAGCCCGGCGATGTCCAGGCGGTCTTTTTCCAGCGGCCCGGAAAGCCAGGTCTGAGCGGCGTAGATCCATTGCTGAACCAAGTCGATATTGCGAAGCGCGGCAGCTCTGTCTCCATGGTCGTATAGACTTGACCCTATGCCGATGACAAGAAGGACCTTGAGACGTAGACTAGGGGCGGCCCCGTCGGGGTTCTCCCAATATCTTTGGTACTCGAGCCAGAAGGTAGGGACGTGAAGTATACGATGCCTGCAGTCACTCAGAGTCAGTATCCTCCTAGTATCCCTCGGAGATATACATACGTCGATTCAAATGATGTCAAATAGAGATTGGCCATGGCATGAGCCGTCTTCCGGGAAGGGGGCGCAAATCCGAAGCCCGGAAAAGGAAGACCTCTCGTGGGTCGGCTGATCTTGATGCTCCTCGCCCTATCCTTGCATTTCCGGAGCAAGTCACTGGCCTGAGAGATCATTACCGAGGCTTCAGGCCCTTGAAACGAGCCGTCCTTGCTACGCTCACCCATTATCTCGCTGTAACAGGCGATTATGGCGGCGAATTCATTAGCTGCGCCCATCCAACGACTCCTGCCCCAGTCTCTTGACTTGTTCAGGACAGCTTGCCACTCTTGCGGCCCCGGCGACTGGCGCACATGGACCTCTTTGAGAGAACTGTTACCGGTCCGGGATCCGCTTGCTGAGGATTCTTCCAGCTTCTGTATCCGATGCAGAAGATCACTAACAGTGGCCCCCAGGTCATTGCGGTCAGAGTGAGGCACCGCTGCCGCTGGCGCTGTGACCCCAGGTGTGATTGAGCTGCTCCCCTGTCGAGGCACCGAGATAGATCCGTTACTATTACTCAAGTCCCCAGCTTGAGCGAGTTGTCGCGGAGCCGAGCTGTCTGACGGCCGGGGGCTCTTGGTGTGGGGCGGCGAATCATGCTGCTGGGTGGTCACAGCGATGGACTGGTCATCAGAATCCTCCGTATAGGTTTTGTATACACATCGAGTCTTGTGCCGCAAACACTGTGCGCACGGGTTATTGTGATCGCATTTGATCTTGCGGCGACGGCATTCTCGACAAGAGAGAGCTGGCCTTCGACGGCGACGCTGCTGTGGCTGCGACTGAGTCTCCATGAGACACTGATTGAAGCAGGAAAATCCACTCTATCTTTGCTTCGGCCGAATCATGTATCATGAATTTGGCAGAGAGAAAGTGCGTCGACGATGGATTGAGGACGCGGAGAATCCTTGCCTGACTGAGGCAGTTCTCGGCCGCATTTGTCCATTATGTCCGTCTCCGAAAGCCGCTCGGCCGAAGAATGATTTATATGTACAGACAGTATAGATCTTCCCTCAGAAACTTTTGGTTAATAACCCCAACTAGTGCCTTGCAGTAATTGCAATATTAGTTAGATTTTGGTTGGACCTGGCGCAGTGAGCAGGCGTTGGTGTATACTGATGAGATGTGTCTATCAAGCGGATATAGCGTGTAGATAGGCCTATGAGAGGGAGAACTAAGTAGAAATAGATGACGCCTACGCAATTACCGATGACTGATTATCTGTTATCTGATTGACTGGGAAATCAGAATTAGAAAGGGTCGAAGGGTAATATTTCGAGCTTATGGCTGTCCCAACGGACGTAATGGGTTTCAACCTCTGCGGAAGACGGAGACACGAGGGTAGAGATCACAATATGCAGTAGACCTTGAGTCCGCGAGGATGGCATGTTATGTCCGCTTCAACCGGAGTGCTCCAGCCAAAGTACCGACAGACGGAGATACCATGGCCCTCCTATTGAGATGACTCCTCTTCTTGGTCTTGTCTGAACTCTATAAGGCGTTGATGCCTCTCTAGTGCACCTTTATCATCACCGATTCCTCAAGTAATACCCTCAGTTCCAGACAGTTGCCACAGCACCATGTCAACCGCAACAGCATTGGGTCATTTCGGACCCAATGGGGCGCAGAACGAGCATGGCCGGTTAGAGGTCACGACTGGAGAGTGCACTGCCGACGCCTGCTTTGAAGCAGATGAAGCAGATGGCGCGCCAAAGTCGATGGAGTCGCGACACTCCACCGTGCAGGATCTCGCACGCCAATTTACCCACAACAGTTCCCCTGACTGCACCGGTAAGCCTATCTTCGGAAGTGACGATCCTGATTCTCCCTTAAACCCGGCCGGTAACAAGTTCAACGCGCGCGAGTGGGCCAGAAATGTTGCCAGGGTTGCTGAGAAACGAGGCCAGGAGTTCCGTCGAGTCGGCTTGTGTTTCCAGAACCTGAGCGTCTTTGGCTACACCAGCGCGACGGACTTTCAAAAGACTGTCGCGAATATTTGGCTGGCTTTGCCGAGAACGATTGCTCGTCGTCTCCTGCCCAGCACTAGCACGTCAGGCCAAACACGAGTGGACATCTTACAACGGTTCGATGGCATCCTCCATCCAGGAGAGATGTGCGTGGTCCTGGGTCCTCCGGGGTCTGGTTGCTCGACTTTTCTCAAAACCATCTCGGGCGATCGGAATGGTATCTATGTCAACCCGAATTCGTACTTCAACTATCAAGGCATCTCGGACAGGGAGATGCACACTGCCCATCGTGGTGATGCCATCTACACCGCCGAGGTCGATGTTCACTTTCCCATGTTGACGGTTGGCGAGACCTTGACATTTGCCTCGTACGCACGCTGTCAGAGGGAGCTGCCAGAAGGCATCACTCGCAAACAGTACTGCGAGCATCTTCGCGATGTCGTTATGGCCATGTACGGCATCAGTCACACCATCCATACCAAAGTCGGAGACGAGTTTGTCCGCGGAGTTTCCGGAGGCGAACGCAAACGTGTTACGATTGCGGAGGCGACGCTGTCCAATGCCCCTTTCCAGTGCTGGGACAAGTAGGTGACCCATGACATAGGCGGAGAGCAATGCTGATTTGTTGCTACCACGCCCAGCTCGACGCGTGGCCTGGACGCGGCCAATGCAGTTGAGTTCTGCAAGACCCTCCGACTGCAGTCGGAATTGTTTGGCCAAACCTGCGCGGTCTCAATGTATCAAGCACCCCAGAGCGCCTACGACCTATTCGACAAGGCCCTGGTCATCTACGAAGGGCGGCAGATCTACTTTGGGCCTGCGTCCCGGGCCAAGGACTACTTTATCAGACTGGGGTTTGAGTGTCCGGCTCGCCAGACAACGCCCGACTTTCTTACATCCATGGCTTTTCCAGCAGAACGCCTCCCTCGGCGTGGCTGCAATCCACCTCGAACGGCCGAGGAATTTGCAGCCGCCTGGAGACGGAGCCCGGAGTACGAGGCATTACAGCGTGAAATTGAGGATTACAAGGCTCAGCATCCGATTGACGGCCCGGACGTCCTGGCTTATCGACAGCTCAAGAAGGCCCACCAGGCAAAGGGTCAACGTTTAAACTCGCCATATACACTGACATACTCTCAACAGGTACAGCTCTGTATGTGGCGGGGCTGGAGACGATTCTGGGCAGATCCTGGCCTGTCGATCTGGGTTATGATTGGGAACGTCATCATGGCGCTCATCATGTCGTCCTTGTTCTACAATATGGACCAAACAACGGCGTCTTTCTACGGACGATCTGTTGTTCTCTTCATGGCTATCCTATTCAATGCCTTTGCCTCGATCCTCGAGGTCATGACCTTGTACGCGCAACGGGCCATTGTGGAAAAACAGGCCCGCTACGCCTTTTACCACCCTTCGGCTGAATCGTATGCTTCTGTCCTGGTTGACTTGCCCATGAAGGTTACTGGTACTGTTTCCTTTAACTTGGTGTTCTACTTCATGACAAACCTGAACCGGCATCCTGGGAATTTCTTTTTCTACCTGTTGGTGGTCTTTCTCATTGTTCTGGCCATGTCTGGGGTCTTTAGATTCATGTAAGTTGCAAGCCTTTACCGAATGAGGACTTGGTCTAACAGTTTAGCGGCGCGCTGTCTCGAACAGAACAACAGGCGATGGTACCCGCCTCAATTCTGATGCTTGCTCTCCTCGTTTTTACCGGCTTTGTGGCCCCAATCCGCTACATGCTCTCGTGGTGTCGGTGGATCAACTACCTGAACCCGGTGGCGTACGGCTACGAAGCGCTGATGGTCAACGAATACCACGCCCGGAATTTTACCTGTTTATCCTACATCCCCAGTTACGGAACTGCTGGTACGACAACCGTGGCCTGTGATGCTGTGGGTGCCGTACCCGGCCAGTCCTACGTCAATGGCGATGTGTACATCAACTCAGCCTACAGCTACTACCACAGCCATAAGTGGCGCAATGTCGGCATTATCGTCGTCATGGTGATCTTCAACCATATCGTGTATTTCCTAGCCAGCGAGTATGTCACGGCTAAGAAATCCAAGGGTGAGATTCTCGTCTTCCGCCGGGGCTTTGTCCCCAAACTTGCCAGCAAGCGCCGTCAGGACGTTGAAGGGTTACCATCGGGCCCAGTTACAGCTTTGCTGGAGAAGCCGGGCAACGGCTACAATTCCAGCAGGGCGGGAGGCTTCCAGGGCTCCACGAGCGTGTTTCACTGGAGCAATGTGTGCTACGACATCAAGATCAAGGGCAAGCCTCGGCGCATTCTGGATAATGTAGACGGCTGGGTGAAGCCTGGGACCTTGACGGCACTAATGGGTGTTTCGGGGGCTGGTAAGACCACGCTGTTGGACTGCCTTGCTGATCGCCGGTCTGGCGTGGGTGTTCTCACTGGGGAGATGTTGGTTGATGGAAAACCCCGTGATATGAGCTTCCAGCGCAAGACCGGTTACGCGCAGCAGCGAGATCTGCATCTTGAGACGAGTACAGTCCGTGAGGTGAGCCTGCAACCACTCAAAGGCCAGCATCATTGCCTCAATCCATGTCACTGACCACTGCTGTTCCTGCAGGCCCTCAATTTCTCCGCTCTCCTACGCCAGCCAGAGAGCGTCCCAAAGACAGAAAAACTGGCCTATGTCGACGAAGTTATCCAGCTACTCGACATGCAGGAGTACGCCGATGCTGTTGTTGGTGTGCCAGGTGAAGGCCTTAACGTTGAGCAACGCAAGCGTCTGACGATTGGAATCGAGCTGGCTGCTAAACCACCGCTCCTGCTCTTTATTGACGAACCCACATCTGGCCTCGACTCGCAGACTAGCTGGGCTATCTTAGACTTGCTGACCAAACTTTCCAAAGCGGGTCAGTCGATCCTTTGCACCATCCACCAGCCCTCTGCGATGCTATTTCAAAGGTTTGATTGCCTGCTATTACTTGCCGAGGGAGGCAAGACGGTTTATTTTGGTATGTTTCCTCTCTAAGCCCTCAAGCGAGGACCTCGCGTTGTGGTATTCGGGCAGGCCTAACATATACTTACCCCAGGTGAAATCGGGAATAATTCAACGACACTTATCAATTACTTTGAGCGCAATGGCGCCAAACCCTGTCCACCCGGCGCCAACCCCGGCGAGTGGATGCTCGAGGCTATCGGTGCTGCACCTGGCAGCTATTCAGAAGTCGACTGGCACGAAACATGGCGCTCCAGTCCTGAATACCGCAATGTCCAGAGCGAACTCGCCCAGCTGCGGTCCAAGAGCTCAGACAACTCGTTCACCGACGGCCACAATGAGCCCTCTTTGTATGACGAATTCGCAACTCCCCTCTGGCGCCAGTTCCGCATAGTAACAAAGCGCGCCTTCCAACACACATGGCGCAGCCCGTCGTACATCTACTCCAAAATCCTCCTCTGCACCGCTACCAGCTTGTTCATCGGCCTGGTCTTCCTCAACTCCCCATTGAGCATCCAGGGCCTTCAGAACCAAATGTTCGCCATTTTCGAGCTGATGAGCATCGTAGGTCAGCTGGTCGACCAGCAATTCCCGCACTTCATCACGCAGCGCTCGCTCTACGAGGCGCGCGAGAGACCCTCCGAAACCTACAGCTGGAAAGTGTTCATGCTTGCCCAAATCCTGGTCGAGATCCCCTGGTACACCCTCGCCTCGGTCTTCATGTGGGCGCTGTTTTACTTTCCCATCGGCTTCTACCATAACGCCAACACCGCCGAGCAGGGCCCCGAGCGGGCCGTGCTGATGTGGCTCCTCTTCTGGGTGTTTCTGGTCTGGGTGTCGACGTTTGCGCACCTGTGCATCTCCTTCGCCGGCTCGGCCGACGACGGCGGCAACATCGCCAACTTCTGTTTCGTCCTGGCCTTCTTTTTTTGCGGTGTCCTGGCCGCGCCGGACCAGATGCCCCGCTTCTGGATCTTCCTGTATCGAGCCTCCCCGCTCTCGTACTACGTCTCGGCTGTCCTCTCGACGGGCCTGGCGAATGTCAATGTGACCTGTGCGAGTAACGAGTTTACCACGTTCAACCCGCCTGCAGGCAAATCGTGCGGCGAGTACATGGCGGAGCATATCGCGGCAGCGGGTGGCTACCTCCTCGACGAGAACGCCACGAGTAACTGTCAGTTCTGCAAGGTCAAGGAGACGAATGTGTACCTGGCGGGTATTCATGCGGACTATGGGGCCAGGTGGCGCAACTTTGGGATCATGTGGGTGTATGTTGCTTTTAACGTTGTGGCGGCGCTGGTCTTGTACTGGGTTGTGAGGGTGCCAAAGGGAAAGAAGTCGGCATAGGCATTTGTCTCCGCTCTCATGACATGCAGTTCTTGGGCCCACGCGGTAGTTCACATGTATATCAGTCTAATAACTTTCGATTGAGCATCTCATCCCATTCCTGCGAGGACGGTTACGGTAGTAGGAAAGAACAACGACAATCACCTTGTTGCAGCCTGAGCTGTTTATTAGTCGCGCCTGATTCCTGCCGGCAGGACAACTATCAATCCGACTCAGCACTAGGACTCGTTATTTACAGATGAGCCTTCTATTCTAGACTCATGAATGCGCATGACATCCTCCATGTTTATGTCCATGGTGGTGATGACGGTGTCCTCGATGACCGGGCTTCTGGCCGGCTTCAGTAGGACGCGGGGTCGGCTGGGGGTCTGGAGTAGATGCAGGAGTACTCGTTCCGGGAGAAGGCGTAGAAGGAGAAGACTGAGGTGTAGGAGTGCTGCTAGCGACACTCGTAGACGCCGAGGTTGACTTTCCGCCAGAGGATACCGCGGGACTTGTATCAGGTGTACTCTGCGGTAGCTTCGAGGTCGCTTTACCGGAGGGCGCAGAAGCAATCAGTGTGTTTGCCCCCGAACCTTGAGCCGCGACATCCTCCTTATCCAGACGATGCAGCAACGATCCCCAGCCAAGCCCATCATAATGACCTGACCCCTCGCCCCAGGACCCTGCGCCCCCTTCCGCACCGCCATAATAGTTCAGAGACTCGTTGAGGAACTTGGTCGTCCAGGGCGCATCCATCCCCTTGATCGTCACGTAGTGGTTATACAGCAGCTCCCAGGTCGGCCGCATTGCGCCGCGCGACGCACTGCTGATTTCCGTGAAGCTGACGATGCCGTTGGAGTAGGGCACGAAGGGGACGTCGTGGCCGAGGTTATACCGGGCCCAGTACTCAATCCTAAGATCATCAGTTGGAGTGCACGTGGAAAAAGGGACAGAAACTCCTACTAACCCCCTCAGAATACGACTATCATTCAACGCAAACAAATCCTCCCCCTGGTTCCATGCCTGCTGCCCCACCACCGCCAGTAACTGAACATCCAGCGCTGAATGGCCCTGGTCGCGACCTGCCTCCTGGCCCTGGCCTAGCGGCGCCCCTGTGCCAGGCTCCTCAACAATATCCGTGATCGCATTATGAATGGAGCCGGTCCCTTCCCCCTGCTTGAAATACTCCACCGCAAAGTCCCAGACTGTCTGGTTGTCTGTCAACACACCCATGGCCATCGCGGACGCGACATTGCACAGCTCCCAGTTCGCAAAGAAGTGGAGGACATTATGTTGCGATGGCTCCTCATGCCAGAGCCACTTGTAGTGCATGGGTATGAAGATCGTATTAGCCATATCGATCACAGACGGGAGGACCCTGGTCGCAAAGGGTTCGTAGTCCCGGAGCAGCTCGGCGGCATTGGCAAGCTGGTACCCCTGCAGTCCGGCTGTGAGGTACTTGTCGTCGCCGCCGCCGAGGGCGGTTAGCTTGGTAGCCCAGGCATGGAGGATGTTGCTCGCTGTATCGGCGAAGGTAGTGTTTGAGGAGATCTTCCAGCGTAGGGCGAGATTGAATGCGGCTGCGACGTCGTGCCAGAGGTTCTCTGCGTTTGCGGCGTTGCCGTCCCAGTCGCTACGGTAGACGACGCTGGCTGGTGAAGGGGCGTAGCTGGCGTCGGAGAAACGCAGACGGGTCAGGACGTTCCAGGAGGTGGTCCATGGGTCTGCGTTTGCTTTGATCTTTTGCTGTGCGCGAGTGATGTCGCTGTCCGTGACGAGAAGGCCAGGGTGGACGAAGCTGGAGGCAAGAGGGAGCAACGCAACAAAGAAAGACAGATTAAGATGCATTGTGAATAAAGTAATGAATGACAATAGTAGGAAAAGGAAAGAACCAGCTATAAAGAACAGAAGTTGTACAAAGAGAGTGGTTGTAGACAAAAGAGGTCAACTGGAAAAGAGCGTAACGCCAGCCGCGTCATTGGGATGTCTGTGATTAATTACTCTGGAGTAGATAGACGCCGATGAATTAACCAAGAAAGATAGTTTACTCTGTACTGCAGTGTCTACAAGTTAATCAGGGGCGTCCGTCAATCGTCAACCCGTGGGGAGATGAGCTAGGGTATATCCAAATCAACCTGAAACACGGCCCATTTGGAACTAGGATCTAGGGTCATGGGGATCCCACCAATAAACATGCTGACAGATCTAAGAAGGATCTGAGCGGGATCTCAAGGTCGAACTGTCGGAGATGAACCGAAGCTATTATCACTAGATGGAACTTAGACTAGGTCTAGCATCCCATTCCCATAGTTAGCCCTAGCCCATACAGCAAGGGCCTCATTGAGATTATTGTACATAAACTACAACGAGTTATGACTCTCTACAATAACTTAAGGTTGTGGTGCAATATCCACTTATAAAAGAGAGTATCAAGAACATAGCATACACACAATTCTTAAAAGACACTAAAGTCTTATAATATCAAGCATGGATCAAGAATGCAATACACAAGGAATTATAAGCACTTTAATTAAATTAAAGTTTCAGAGATTTAGCCAGTGAGACAGGTCTTATAGATTGCATATCATAGCTAATAACTAGTCACGCTAGCAGACATCACGCTAACCAGGAAAGATCTCTGATAGGTGTCTAGCTACAGCTCAACAATGGAATTAATTATATCAGTGAGACACTAGATGCTTCCAAATCACCGTGTCCATACAGCAAGGCACATGCTTTATGCCAGAATGTCACCAGTCGTCTTCTGGGTTCAAGGACTTAATGATGGTTCTCTAGACCTGAAGACCGTCCTCGCCAAATTCGTATTTGCAGGGTCCTTGGCGATGCGGTCCTCTAAGTTCTGTCTGTCATAATGACTTAGTAGCCTCACGGTTGGTGGTCAAGAAACACTTACAATCCGTGCCAGCCACCTGTCCTGCAACGCTCACAGTAAGGCTTTTCTTCTAGTCAATCGTTAGTATGCCATTGCCATGAGTAATACAGTGGCGACAACACACCGCATTTTACTTTGCGTCGTCGACAGGTCCTGCGCCTTTACTTCGTCCGCCTATGTTCACCCTTGTCTTCTACGTAGATTCGATGACCAAGAAGTGGAGGGTTAGTCGAGCGTACAGCTCCAGTAGCCGCTCTTGTTGTTCGGAAATTCAAAATCGGAGACTGATTGATGACCTAAGGATAAGAGTATCTGACCTCCTCAGATGCTTCCTCAGTGCTAGCCGTCAAGCTGACTGCCTGGAGGGCGCATGCTGTTTCCTAGAGCATCAAGCCGGCTGACTAAGCTCGTATAAGACGTGCCAAGCATCATCAGGGGCATGCAGTTCAGCAAGATCTCGGAAAAGTTCAACAAGGTCACACCCCTTTCTCTTGGGCAGTTGGACAGTTGCCTAACCTCAGAGACCAATTCACGATGGACGCTACCTCTCATCGAAACATGCCAAATCCACTTTTGCTCCCGGAAATTGTGGCGTCTGTCATCGACAATGTCCACCTGGTCCCAGATCTCTTGAACTGCGCCTGCGTGAACCGCATGTGGAGTGTGGCAGCTCTGAAAAAGCTCTACAGGGGGTCTCTAAATGATATGCAGTTCCGCACACCTGACATTGGATCACTTAACTGCCTCTTTGTAGCATCACGAGAGCGCTTCGCTCGAAATATGAGCTTTGTGAAGCATCTTCTCCTTTCTCCAGACGCAATCGCACTTGACCAAATCGGAAGAACAAACATCGTATGCCATGAGAAATGTCGCCCGTTGCGCCATCGCAAACATGCGAAGCTCCTTTTGCAGCCGCAAGGAAGTGGTCTTACCAGCCTCGTCGTCCCCTACAAGATGAAGGGTCAAGATTGGTCTACCATTTCCGATCTCCTTTTCACACCAACCATTGAGTACTTAGCTATTGATAGCTTCTACTGTGCACTGGTGATGAACGGCGCCAGCTATTCTCAAGGATCGATCATCCCTACTGTGAGTGTTGTCTGGCCTGTGATTCTTCCCATTTTCAAGAGGGAATGTCTAACTCTAGCGGGTAAAGTTCTCAAACCTCAAAGCTCTCATAATCTACAAACCAGATGGTGGTCCGGGGATTTATGAGCTTTGCCAAATGCTTCGATGTTGCGATTTGCAGTTCTTCCACCTTGAGGAAACGGCTCACAGCCGTGCTGATCGCATGAGCCGATACGACCTTGCGGAAGTCCTGTTGTGCCTTCGACAACACCAAAATCTGGAGACGTTGGCGCTGATCGTCCCTCATTGTTCTCCACCCTTGGAATCAACAAGAGTAGAGGAGCAGGTAAACCCATGGCCGAGGTTAAAGGCATTGTACCTTGCAGAGCGGCCCCAAGAATGGCTAGAGCTATTGCCAACGTTGGACGAGCTTCAAATCCTCAACCTGCTAGACCTCGGACCCAGGTCCTCCACTATCAACCAGACTGTACTTGGAAACATTGCAAAATGCAGAAATCTACGGGCCATCGACCTTAATATCCGTGACCTTGACAATGTAGAAGCACTCCTTGAGATTGCGCGCGGCTGCCCGCTTTTACAGAAGTTTCGTGTGAAGGACGTACGCTTTAGTGGGGAACCTTGTCTGGGAGAAGACCTGTTTCTTGATCTGCTGCGTGCCCTGCCTCATCTAGAGTTCCTTGATCTTGATGCGAAATTCCAGATGGACGGTGAAAAGCTTCGAGAGCTTGTCCATCACTGCCCGCGACTCGTCGTGCTTGACCTGCGTTACACTCAATTGCACCTCTCTCTCGACACAATGATAGGGTTGCATCCCTTCCGGCAGTTAGAGACCATGATGTTTGCACACATATACTTCGAGGATCTACCACGCTTGCAAAGCGATGCCATCCTCACCATTGCGACGTTGTGGCGCAGGATATTCCCAAGGCTGCGAGATGTGCGATGCCATTCGGACCCGCCGTATACGATGGAGGATGATTGGAGCGAGGAATCAGAAGCAGATAATGACGGTATGAGTGATGATGACGACACGTCACTCTCGTCAATTAGCGACTTCGTGGCCAACTCTGACGGCCAGAAGTGTGAACAGTATACTTTACGAAGGAAACTCTGGAGGGTCCTTGGTTATGGGAAAGCCCTGGATATTAATCATAAGATCATATATATGTGGCAGACCAATCTGGAGATCAAGACGATTGGCTGGCCTGTGGTGCCTTTGGCAGCGTTCTCCGATCCAGAAGCATACTCCACGAGTACTAGATGTGGTTGGTAACAGAGGTCATCCTGCACAACATAATACGGCCCTCGATTATATATTCTCTTGCATGACATACGATTGTAGTGCATACAGCATACTAGGACAGTTACCACTAGTGATATTCTGTATACATACCCTAATCTTGTATACTGTGGCAACCCCTGCAAAGCCTCACTCCCGTATCCTGGAGAATTTCATTGCTCTCTTATGCTTTAGATTCTGGCACAAATAATAGGAATCCAGCCAGATCCCCAAACAGCACTATGGTTAGGTGTATACTTTCATAATAAATTTCGTTGAGTTCCCAGGCGTACCGATTGTTGCCGATCCTTGACCACTAAAGAGATGCCAAGGATTACCAGAACTCAATCGGATACCCGAATACCCGCACTTCTCACTGAACTGCGACCAACTATTAGCCACAAACCCGGTACACAACATGAGTCCTACATCGAGGTTGCAGAGCAGACGACCTACGCGATCTTCGCTGGCTTGTCTTCCTTGCCGTTCACGTCATTCGAAATGCGACGGCAATCGTCCGTGTTGCGCCCGCTGCACTGATGCTGGCAGGGAGTGCTGCTATGCTCCCTCACGTCGCGGTGGGCTGGACCGCGCAGCGCTGGCAGAGCGTCGCAAAAGACTCACTGCGACAGATGGCCCTAGAGGCACTTTATCTGTTGACGACTCAAGTCCACAACGTGCTGTCCAACCCGCTGAGGTCGACTTCTCCCAGGACTCGGCCCTGCTCGATACTACCATGAGTGGTAATGGCACATCAAACATTCCATTAATAGTAGCGAGCCCAGCTCAGATTATTAGCATCGAGGACGATGCCCTGGTCGATGCTTACTATAAGAAGTTTCATAAATCTCATCCCTTCATATTACCGCGGAAGCACCTCGCAATAATGTACCAAGACCTGGGCAGACGGCCCAGGTTCACGCCACTCATTGCAGTTCTACGCTTAATCGGGGATATTTATACCTCAAAAGGTTGGTCGATACCGCTGCAGGAGTACATAGAAACCTGCTTTGCACAAGTGGCCCCATCCGACCCCATCATGGTCCAATGTCGCCTTCTATATTCTATGGCGCTCTTCTGGTACGACTATAAGGACGATGCCAAAAAGGAAATGGACAGTGCAACTAAGCTTGCCATTGATCTCCAAATGTTTCGCCAAGAGTTTGCAGCGTCGCAGGGAGCCGATGACCCCGTGCTGAAGGAAAGCTGGAGGCGAACATGGTGGATGCTGTTCATCGTCGATGCGTACTACGCCGGTACTCTGGGGACGATGAACTTGGCGGTTGTGGATATCGCTGCTACTGTCGAGTTACCCTGTGAAGAGTCCGAGTACGAGTCCGGGGTTAGTATTAGCAACATGGCGTTCTCTAACCCGGTCTCGCGCAGGTTAAAGAGCTAACTCGATTACAGAATATTCCCGAGCCGAAAACCATTGAAGAGTTCAACTGCCGCGAATTCAGCCCTGAGGGCACCAAGTTTTCCTCCTTTGCGTATCTTATCGGCGCCGTACAATGCGCAGCATCCGCAATATCGGTGGCGCCGAAGACAGCCGTCAAAGAAGACTCAACGCGTGTCATCCAAGCCGCCGACTGCAGTCTAGACGGATGGCGACTTCTACTACCGACGGATCACAAGCAGGTCATGACACATACTGGGGAAATTGACGAGCTCATGTTCCAAGCTCACCTAGTAATTCACGTGTAAGTATCTCCTATCTATCCTATTTAGACACTACACGATCTCATAAACTCTTTAGCGCAACTATTGGCCTGCACCGGCCCTTTTCGACCCTCAAATTCAATGCAATTGAGGACGTTTCCAGCTGTGCCCGAGAAGCGCCCCTAGATACCCCTACTCCAGATCTTGTCAATGTACACACCGTCCGAGTCCTGCGGTCCGCAGAGGCACAAATTCGCCTCCTTGCCCTACCCGTGCAAGAATTCTGCCACACCCCTTTTACCACCTGCATGGTGAGCGAGGGAACACTAGCGCTGCTTTCGGCCTGCAAATTCCTATTTAAGGGGAAAGATCTAGCAATCGCAAGAGATCAGATCCGGATGACGATCGGGTGCCTCAAGGTCCTTGGCGAGGTATGGCCGAGAACAGCGAGAAATGTTCGCGAGCTACAGACGATTGGGCAGTATGTGCTTGGGGTTGGGTCTAGGGTGGAAAGCAATAGCGATGCGTCGAATTCCACCGAAGGTTTGCATGCTTTTGAAGGAGAAGGAAGTCTGAGTTCTAGTACGGATGTACTAAGCAGCGACATTGATCTTCTTTCTTCTATCAGGTCTATCCAGGATCTGTGTGGATGGTATGGCCTTGGTGATCTGGATGATCTCCCCTGGGGTATGGTCGATGGGTTGTAATATGTAATTTATATTTACTACTTCTACCGGTTGAATGAGTACGAATGTTATGGAAATGGTTGTGCCCGCGGCATTCTCTCGGTATAGAATGATTACACTCTATCATTACATGTCTTTCTATAGGGATCTTATTTAGCTCCCACTCATACCCGGATGCCTGGGTCAGGTGAAGTTCGTGAAATACCATGATAACGGCTAATAGACATATTGTATGGTTCAAAGGACAAGGGAGAAATTGATATGCCGGAATTGGCCATGGTATTTGGCAACAGATTTCCCGGAGACCCTGCTATTAACAATAGGCTATTGCTATTGAGGCAGTCCCTAGCAGCAATTCCGGCGGGAGCCAAATAGCAAGCGTATATCCTGCTTAAATATTTATTCTTCACTCGCCCCTAACTCTTGTAATCCTACTATGTTTATATGCATCACGACTACTCACTTCACTACTACAATCTACACTCGAGAGCATCACTAAATCTCGTCAGAAATGCAAGCCGTCCGCCTTCATCCCGCCCCCAACGGCTCAAAGCCCTACTCCCCCACCAACCCAGCTCCACCATCTGCGTTAAAGCTAGACAAGATCCCAACCCCCAAGCCCTCCCGCCGAGGAGAAATCCTCATCAGAGTGAAAGCCACAACAGCCATACGCGATGCATTAACATGGCCCGAAACATACGCGACCGAGTTTGCGATCCCAGGCAACGACTTCTCCGGGATAGTAGAAGACGTCTTCGCCAACCCGGATAGCACCACCACCACCACCACCAGCCAATTCAAACGCGGCGATCAAGTCTTCGGAATGACACATGCCGACCGGGGCTCAACATGGGCTGAATACACGATCGTGCATGAGCACGAGGCCACCCTGAAGCCCGAAACCCTGCCGTGGGAGAAGGCTGCTTGTCTACCGCTCAGCGGGTTGACGGCTTTCCAGGCTCTGTTTGAGCATGCGGGCCTCCCCTTTCCGGCGGATGCCGCCGTCGGGGAAGAAGAAGGGATGATCAGGAAACGGGTCTTGATTACCGGGAGTTCTGGGGGTGTGGGTATTTACCTGGTCCAGCTGGCTGCGATTGCAGGTCTGCATGTTGTGGCTGCGTCTAGCTCTACCGAGCGCAATGGAGAGTTTCTTAGGGGGCTGGGGGCTGATGAGGTGGTAGAGTACTCGGCCTTGGGGGAGAATGTGGAAGGGTCTTTTGATCTCATTGTCGATACTGTCGGGGGGGAGATTCTCCGACGATGTTGGTCTTGGGTATCGGGGTATGGGACGCTGATATCAGTTGATTCGGCAAGTTTTGATTTTGTGAATGAGCATAGAAAGTGTGGGACTAATAAGGGGAAGGAGGATGTGAGAGCTTTATTTTTTATTGTTAGGAGTGATGCTGAAGCTCTGAGGCAGTTGGCGACCTTGGCGGATCGAGGCCGGCTGAAGCTGTTTGTGCTGCAAACGTTTGATCTATCACAGGCTCAGGAAGCGTATGAACAGGCTAGTTCAAAGGCTTCTGGCTACGGGAAGGTTGTTATTCAGATATAGGAGATCTAGTCTCTGGTCCCTAGATCTTGAGCGGATCAAAACAAACAAGGACAGAATTTACGTTCAAGTCAAAGAATATAGTTTGAGTTAAGTTCTATCATTCATATGCCAGCGTCTTGATTCGCCTCTTACAGGAGAGCAGACCCGACACTGGCAGCTGGGAAGCAGATCTATAAGGAGATTGGTACAATTACCCGATTATTTAGTTCGGAGAGAAAGAAATGTCATTAGATCTGTCCCTAAGCCTGTTACAGGTGGACTACATCATACGGTATACCACCGGCGGGTGCCAGTATTGATATGTTAGCAATGACAAAATCTGTAAATTTCTTTTAGAAACTTCCACATGCCCAAGATATGTGATAGCTCTACTTTCTCCTAGCGTACCTAGACTTTCTCGGTTTCAAGTTACCGATACTCCTCATCGATCTGGATCAGCGCTGCCACTCCATCACGGTCATACACATCCGAGTCTAGGACCATGGTCACCATCAGGGTGGCCGGCTCAGTCGCACTAGCGTTGTCGCTGATGCGGTGATGGCAACCCGGGGCTTCATACCAGGTGCCTCCCGCCTCGATCACCTTCATCGGGTCGTTGTTCATTTTGTTGAGCACCGTGCCGCTGAAGACATAGGCAGAGACCGAGGCGCCGCCATGCCGGTGGGGAGGGGTCGATCCGTTTGGGGGGAATTCCACACGTAACCCAACCATTGTCTTGCCGGGACAATTGACGAGCTTGTAGGCGTAAACTATGCTAAGGGTTGACTTGGGCCGGCTGTGCGAGTTGGTTTGAGTTGAGAGACTGTGGTGTGGAACAGATCATGCTTACCTCGGGTCATAGGTCGGTTCTTGCATTTTGATAATTGATGATTGATGGGCTTTGCAGGGTTTTGGGATCTTGCTTTGGACTTGTTGGTTTCTCGGTCGATAATGAGTCGACAGACTGGTGGTATTTATAGTTTGCTGGCTGGCTATTCTGACTACGTCAGACTCGAATGTTTCTCGGGAGCCTAAACTTGAAATTCTAAATACGGATATCCGATCATACGAACGCGATTCGTGGTCCTGGCCGAAATGATCGCGGATCGGGCATGCGGGTTAAGTTCGGGTACCCGACATGAAATGGATAGCCTATCCGGGTATTAAGTGAAGACCGAACAACCGTCAATCAGCTCACTCCAGCAAACAACCGGGGAAAGAGCTCTTCTTGGACACCCTTTAGCCTCGCGATGGCGAATCTGAATATGTCTTCTGGAAATGCTGGCGCGAACAGCGTGCAGAGATCGGGGAGGGTGCGGAGAAGCTCACTAAGGTGTGGCTACACCTTTTTTTGAAACCTTCCCTCGACCCTTTAACCAGAAGATCCGCAAACTTTCTGAATCCCCTGAGACCGAGGACGAATCAGTCTCCCTTATCGCGAGGCTTCGTCTAAGCATCGAGTACAATACTCAGAAGGATCCCTCGTGGAGGCTACCAAGGCTCAGGGGGCTTAGGAAGAACCACCTTCTCTAGGAAAGAGGAGAAATCCGAAACCACGACCATCACGGAGTCTAGGGAGACTAAGAAGAAGGAATTCAAGAAGTTCACTCTGCAAGATAAGAGGTGCTATAACTGCGGGAAGCCAGGGCACATTGCGAGGGTCTGTCGCAGCCCTAAAGTTGACTCGCGAAAGCTACTTGACTAGTGGCATCAGTCAAGCCTTCCCTTCAGGCTTGGCTAGATTGCGGTGAAGGAACACCAGCACGTCCAGCGCTGGTGGAAAGAGGGAGTTCAGATATTATTGTACCCGCGACCCTCGCGAAGGAAGCTGGTTGGAAGCTGCTTCCCTACCAGGTCTTCGCGAAGACCCTGACTGAGCAGGAGGTCAGAAACGAAGGGGTGGTTGAATTGGAGATTACCCTTGCGGATAGTGAGGGTAAGGAACAGCGGTTCCGCGAGCTGGCGGTGGCATCCCCAGATGTCAGCTATATCACTCTGGGAATGCCATGGCTAGAGAGACATGATTCCGCGACGCTATGGGGTCACGAGGGAGAAGGTCATCTTTCGCGATGACCCATTGACATTGGTGTGATCACTGTGGAAGAGCTTGCGGAGGACGGATATGCTGGTAGTAATGGTCAACATACACCAGGAAGAGACCATTGCGAAGGATACCAGGGTCAGTCCCTGCTTAAGTGGCTTCGTGACTATGCGGATGTCTTCTCAGAGAAGGCCGCGAAGGTACCCCCACGCCGCGATGGTGTGGATCAACTAGTAAAACATAACCCTACAGCAAGTTACAATCGCTAGAAGCACTAAAATAGGCATAGGAGTGGATTACCATTGACTTTATCAGTCGACTATTTACGTTCCTAGGATATAATTATCTTAATATTGACGAGACCAACATAGAAATACCGTAAATATGTCCACCTTTGACGGCCGCCATACCTGCGGTAAGAAGCAATAAACACCTACGATGGCCCCAGGCTAGGACATAAACATAGCCACAGAAACGGACAGGAGCATGACGATACTTAGCGATGGCCAAGAGCAAAATCTTGATCCCTCGCTTGTCGGGGAGGGGCTTGAACTCGAAGTAGAAGTGGCAGTCGAAGTGGCAGTCGAAGTCGAGCTTGTTGTAGCACTGGTGCTAGTAGAGGAGCCAGTGGACGTTGTCGTCTGGGAGGTACCGCTACTCGTCGTCGACGCAGTGCCCGGTTTTCCTAATGTGCCACCACCAACCGCAGCAGGTACCGTTGTATCTCCTGCATCTTGTGCTGCTGACTTGAATGCATCAAGAGTATCTGGGCCATTGCGTCTGCGAGTAAGATACACAGTCAGAAACATGCTTGCTCTGCCGGCGTGTCATACTCACGGAGGATTGATGACCCCGACCATACCAGCCTGGCAATGTCCGACCTCGCCACAGTAGTACCAGATAGGGCTGGTATCGTTAACAGTCAATGTGAAGACCTCAGGCTTTGAAGGTAAAGTATCAGTATGCTGCTTTTCCTAAGGACTTTGCCGAAGGACTCACGGATTCTCCGTCTGTGGCTGAAATAGACCCGCTGAAGAAACTCGACTGGTTAAGCGGGTGGCACGGGTTTGAGAAGGCAGCCTGAGCTACTGAATGGGTGCCCGGGTAGAAGTGAAACTCGACTTTGCTTCCGGGGGATACTGAAAGAGTATCTGGATTGAATGTGAGACCATCCTCCCCTACATCAACAGTGTGGACAGCACTCGCAGCTGAGGATGATGTAGTTGTTGGTGTCTCAGTACTACTGCTTTGACTACCGGACTGTGCATAAATGAGAGGCAGCCATGAGATGGCAAGAATGAGATTCAGCGCTCCGGCCATTGTTCGTATGCACTATTGAACTTGTCCTATGTGGTAAAGAAGGTTGTTCAATTCTACGCATATGGTCCCAGTGCCGATTTATAACTTTGCAGGAACTCGTACTAGCTGTCCCATAGGAGAATGAGTCCCCTCATAATCCTTCAGAAGACCAGAATACATGCGGTTACATCATGACTGGAGTGAAAGCCAAAGTAAGAGCTACCGAAACGATAGTATACCGGACACTGCGCTAGACGCAGAACTCAGATCACAGGACACGAGCTATAGACTCAATCCGTGGAAGCAGTAGATTGGTGGGAGTATCGCGTTATTTTTAGGGCTGTACTCTACTAACAACTTGGTAGACCAACGACACCTCCAGTCTCAATAGGTTGGAACAAAAGCGCTAGGACAAAGGTACATTAAGCTTCCTCCATAAGTAGGATCATTGCGGCCATGCTAGAACCTTAACAATGTGGCGCTCAACCCCATGATCTGACTATCCCAAACTCAATTGTAGCTGTTGTGATGATACTTTGACAGCACGTTGCATTTGTGGTTCCCTGCTGCTTTGTACCATGGAACAGAGTGTTCTCGCCGGGATCTATATCAGCCCACCAGCAATATCAATGGAGGTACTCTGGTGTGTTCTTTCGCGTTACAATATTATTATTCCTCATATGGCTGCGCTGTGCTCATCCACATTCGACTATCTATAAAGTCAACATGCAGAAGGTTTGCACTGCCCTACTTTTGCGCCATCCTGATGGGACTGAGCCAACATTTGCTTTGCATAGAGCCCTTGATTTCGCCGGGGCATGAATGCAAAGCCACAAGCTAATCACACTCGAAGGGGGCTGTAGAAGCTTACATGGTCACACTGCTTGCTGAATTGACGCAAAATAAGCACTCAACTTCCAACTGGTGGTGTATTTCGCCAGCCTCCTTTTATTATATCCTATCCCCGCGGATAGTCAATTGGGTCTACGGGTCTACTCAGGTATCCGGGATACAATGCTTATTGTATACTGTCTGTGTTGGTGGCTCGTCGTATGCAACCACGCATTCGGCCAAGTCCAGACCTTTACTCCTGCAGGAGAAAAGGCAATAGCATACAGCGTAAATGTCCCTGAATCAACGGCCGGATCCGGCTCCGGGCCCATTTTCATTCAGATGCGATCCACTAAAGAAGTGCAGTGGTTCGCATGGGGTCAAGGAGCCGTGATGCAAGGGGCCAATATTTTCGTCGTCTATGCGAATGAGACCGACATCACCGTCTCGCCGCGGTTGGGAGTCGAGCACGTTGAGCCTCTGTACAACCCGCAAGCTCGATTCTCGATCCTCAATGGTAGTGGAATCAGCAATGGAACCTTCACGGCGAACATACGGTGCGATAGCTGTATCACCTGGCCAGGGGGCCACGAGGATGTGACAAGCACATCAAGCCCGTGGATATGGGCCGTGAAACACGGTCCCATGCTAGATTCAGACAGCGTCTCTGCGACTATCACTCTCCATGACCTCTCAGGTGTTGCCACCGTCAACATGAAGCAGGCAACCGGTGGCAGCTCCGAGAATCCGTTTCTCCGTGGATCGATGGCGTCGAATTCCAGCTCCGCGCAGGCCGTCCAGACCGTCAACTCGGAATCCGTCAGGAAGAAAAGAATCGCACACGCCGTCCTCATGATAGTCGCTTTTGCTCTCCTCTTCCCCCTAATCGCCCTAGGAATCCCTCTTTTCCCGTCCTCCAGGACAGTGGTCATCCACGCCTCGCTGCAGCTCTGCACCCTCGCGCTGGTAATCGCGGGGTTCGGCCTCGGCATCTCAATGGCCAAAAGCCTAGATCTCGTCGGCTCCTACCATCCCATTATTGGCATTGTAGTTGTTGCATCCCTAATCCTGTTCCAGCCAGCGATAGGTCTCGTCCAGCATTGGTATTTCCGCCGAACGGGGAAGAAGAGTATCGCCGCCTATGTACATCGGTGGCTTGGTCGTACGGCTATCACTCTGGGGATTATCAATGCGGGGCTTGGATTTCGTCTCACGGGCATTGGGACTTCTGTGGCTCCTACTGGGGCGGTGATTGCTTATGGCGTGGTTGCTGGGCTCGTCTGGGTGGGTTATGTGTTGACGGTTAGCTTCCTCTCGTACAGGAAGCGTCACTCGCGAACTTAGGTCTATTGATGTGATTGCCATATCTGCTTATATATGCGTTCATGGTATCTGCGGTGAAGCTGGCCTGGGATATAGATCACTTCTATATCGTATCCTATGGTTTAACAGTGTTAAGATCATTGTTGGTTTGGAATTCTATATATGTGGCCAGCCATAGACTATTTCTACAAGTTCATACTAGACATGGGGATTTGAGGGTGCAAGCTTGGACATTACTTTCAGCCCAATTGCTCCACTGCGAGGATTTGAGCGGATTTGCGCATTTAATCTTCGTCCAAGTCTTGGTGCGGGGACCAAACCAACTGTGGATCTCCATGAAAAGGGTTATCATATTGCTGTGCCATCCTTTCTCCAACGATATGCAGTCCTCAATTCAAGCTGTCCAGTTCTAATCATGACACGCGCCATCCTGCCATCCTAATGAAGGCTGTGCATAGCGTCCCAAGAACAATTCGCCCACTACAATGCCTCCAACCACCGCGCAGAATACCCCCACATTGAACGTCATCACTGCCAGCATTCTAAACGGTTCAGTGATGGACATTAACAGTCGGACAGGATGCTGTGAACTTACAGTGCGTAGCCCACCAGAGCCCGGAATCCCTCGAGAAGTGAGCTCGTTCCGTCCTTTCGCCAACTCCAACGTCTGTACACGCTCCACCAGCGACGTTTTACCAGGGGGCCTTGCGGCTCCTGATTTAAGTCGGAAGGAAATTCATGGCGTGTGCGTTCAGCATCCGACTCCAGGAACTGAGCCGATGGGAAAGACGCCTCATACTCGGGATCGGTTTCGGCGACCTGCATGTATCGAGGCAGGGGACTTTTGCGGTCCTTGGGAATGGCATGTCGGCGTCGCGCGCTGGGCAGCTGTAGCTTGGGAACTCTTCCCTCCGTCGGCTCGGAATGCTTCACGTCGAGCTGGAACTTTAGCACGCCCAGGAAGCGGTTGAACACGGCCAGGACGAAGAGGAAGATTAACGTAAGACTGTAGGAGGCTGCTGTGGTAGTCGTCCAACCGCGGAAGAAGAGTGTAATCTCGGTGCTGGTGTCGAAGACCATTGACATGGTCATCCCCTTGCTGTGATCGTTCTGGTGCATCCTGTCGACATTGCAATCCCAATGAGCATACGGGCCGGCGACGGGACCTAGATATCCCATTCAGCGGCTTTTGGATCGCCTGCCAAGTCACCCGAGCCCTATGATGATCCTCCCGGGGTCCCGGTGATCACTTGGCTAACGGACGTAGGCGCGGCAGTTTGAGCAAATTCTTGTCAAGACAGCTGGGTGCCCAATTGGAAAGCTCCTTTCGATCAGGTTCTCCCTCCATGTTCAGTCGCGAGATCATATATAAGCTTATCTCTGTACCTGACTCCCAACTCTGACCTTCCATCTACAACGCCTCCGTCCGCTTGGCGAGACACTTTTGAAAATGCACTGCAGTACTATCTCTAGAAGGCTAGAAATAGCCGTCTAGGTACACAGCTCTTAGTCGAGTGGCTTTCTGGCTCGCCAACTGTGACCTAGACCCACTTGAGAGAAATGCGCTCACATCCTTGCACTCGACTTAATATAGGACAGTATTATGCATGATTTGTAGACCGGTGTACGGCGGGCTAATAAATCATCGACCCAAGTCCGTTAATTCAGAGAAGAAGGACACCTGCAAATCTTGCCTGCACCACTAGCATAGGTGGTCTGACAGGATTGCTTAGTATTGCTTCCACATGGACGTCGCTATGATGGCGCTCTAATCACCTCAGCTTCGGTTCTGACTGCATAAAAATGCGCAGATTTGAGCATGTTGCTAGACCCAAATAGACGCACGCTGCACTTGTCCACTACCAATCGAGCGCTTGGCTCGACTGCTATTATAGACAGCAAGGATTCGACTAAGGACACTCCGTTGCTTTCCGGACACTCTACATCCCACTTCGTCGCCGAGGAAATGATTTATTTAGTCAACCCCTTATAATGTGACATCCTTGGAGAAGTTTGTCCTTGACCTTGATCGCACCGCACTGCTGTACAATGGCGGCAACCACTGAAAAGGATGTCAGTGCCCGAACAACAGACAACATCGAGGCTGCCTCCGACACAGTGAGTCTGGAGGAAAAGAACGAGCGGGAAATCATCGAGCATCCCAATGAGATCACGCAAGATGCCCAGATTGGAGTGCAAAAAGCCGAAGCCACGGCCCTAGTATGGTCCAAGACGGCCTTGTATGCCACATATGCCTGGTGAGTAAGAGCAATCGACCTTCTACCAGGACAGACTACAAGGATACAAAAAGAATGACAGCGATTGCTAATGGATACCGTGTACAGGATCTGGGTGTGCTTCTTTATTCTAAACCTGCAATTTTCCATTAGCAACAATATGATCTATTACGCTTATGCAGGCTTCTCATCGGCTCCCCAGATCTCCCAGGCTCATATTCTCTCAACTATCATCGGGGGAGTGCTACAGCTGCCTATCGCAAAAACTCTCAATCTCTGGGGCCGGGCCGAGGGCTTTCTCGTTTTCGTCGGGGTCTTTATCCTCGGGATTATCGTGATCGCCTCTTGCAATGGCCCCAATGGCTTCGCAGCCGGATACACGCTGTATTGGATTGGCTACACTGCCGTCAACTTCATCCTGGTTGTCTTTGTCGCTGACGCGTCCGGATTGCGAAATCGAGCATTTGCCTACGCATTCATTGGGACCCCGACCATCTGTACAGCCTTTGTCGGCCCGCTCGCTGCTCAGGCGTTCTATACCCATTCCACGTGGCGGTGGGCCTACGGCTGTTTCGCCATCATCATCTTCTTCACCTTTGTGCCTCTTGCGCTGGTCTTCAAGTTCTACCAGCGCAAGGCCGAGAAGACAGGCGTGTTCGTCCGGGACCCCAGCGGCCGGACGCCTCTCCAGTCGTTCCTGCATTACTTTCACGAGTTCGACCTCGTCGGCGCCTTTCTCCTCATGGCTGCCTTTGTCCTGTTTCTCTTGCCATTTAGCCTCGAGACTTACGGCTTCAGCGGGTATTCCTCGGCAACCTTTATCAGCATGGTTATCATCGGCGTGCTGCTCTTCCCCGTCTTCGCTATATGGGAGAGATTCTTCGCCACGACCGCTTTCATCAAGTGGGAGCTCTTCAAGAACCGGACTGTGCTCGGGGCCTGCATTTTGTCTGCTGTCATTTTCTTCAACTATTACACCTGGGACCAGTACTACTACTACTACCTCCAGGTCGTCTACAACCTGAACACCGCCAACACAGGTTACATGACACAGATATACAGCGTCGGCTCGACCATCTGGGCCGTCCTCTTCGGCATCTGGATCCGCCAGACCAAACACTTCAAGAAAACCTGCCTGTACTTCGGCGCCCCGCTGATGCTCCTCGGCGCCGGCCTCATGATCCACTTCCGCGGCACCGAGAGCAAGATCGGGTATCTCGTGATGTGCCAGATCTTCATCGCCTTTGGCGGAGGCACCCTCGTCATCGGGGACGAGATGGCCGTCATGGCGGCCGCGGACCGCGACGGCGTCCCCATGATGATCGCCATGATCAGCCTGGCTGGGAGTTTCGGCGGGGCGATCGGCTACGCTGTTGCCGTGGCCATCTACTCCAACACCTTCCCGCAGGCTCTGCTCCGTGGGCTTCCGGATGATATGAAAGGTGACTATGCTACTATTTATCTTGGGGGCTCGACGGCGCAGGTGATGTACCCGCCTGGCAGTGTGGCCAGGAATGCGATCAATCGTGCGTGGACGGAGAGTCAGAAGTATGAGTGTATCACGGCTACGGCGATTGTGGTTCTTGCGTTCCCGGCTATTGCTATGTGGAAGAACTATAATGTTGATAGGAAACAGGTCAAGGGGACGGTCATCTAGGCTGTCAATTGTTGTAATATGCAACCCGGAATAGCATGGCTATATTGAATAGATAATAACCTAATTTCACTGGTGCGCCAAAGGACCTGTACTCCGAGTGCGATACAAATCAGACTCTAGATCAAGCAGGAAATAAAAGGGCCTTGGGACAGAAGTTAAGCGCTGACTGTGAGAGTATGATGAATGAACGCTGGCTACGGCATGAGCTAACTGTATTCTTCTCATGCACGACCGTGTTAGCGTACAATAACCTGCTCAAACCCGCTCACAGGAGACGAATAGTTGGATCTACCTCGCTTAGCCCTGTCTCAGCCACTTTCCTAGTGTTATCAAGAATATCAAACACTTGAGCAAAGACGCAGCCGTCTAGACAACCATTTCTAGCGTAGTAGGAATAGTAGCAGAATATGTCAACACCTCCAGAATCTGCCCTTTCTGTCCTATTCCCAGCTGAATCCTTCTCGTCGGCCACCCCTGCTTCAATCAATGGCTGTATGATCAATAGCACAAGAGTTATGGCTATCCCCCGAGGGAAAAAAAGGAATGCTTTGGCAAAATTGCACCTCACATATCAAACACCCCACCATATCTTCAAATGAATACCCCCGCTTTCCTGTAAGAACACGCGCCTACGCAATGCGATTCGTATTTGCTCACCGACGCGGACTCCTGTGCTTGAAGGCTTCGACGGGGCCAGGAGTTCGGTGAGTGCTGGGAAGCGGTTGCTGGCGATAGGGCCGCCGCCCCCGGGGATGTGGTATAGCCCTGGTTGGCGGGCGAGGGTGGTTACCTGCGTTAAGAACCAATAGAATGATGCTGTTGCCGGTGCCGTCAGACCTGGGATAAATGCTGCGAGTGCTTGAGGTGCGGTGCGTTTTCGAGGTATTACTCAGAGGAGGTAAGACTAGTCCTATTGTCTCTGGCTATCATTGATACTTCTCAAAGTACTTCCTGACCCCCTGTCTGACACTGGCGATAAAACCGTCCTCGACAACACCCTCCTGCCAGCTGAAACCAAGCGCCATAATTCCATCCCCACCGGTGACAACACTAACAGTGACTGCAGCCCCGGGAACAGCAGCACTGCGACTGAGCAGCACGCTCCCTACTTTCCAGAGAGAAGTCCCGGGAATAGCGGCCGGCGAGAAGAGTCCAACATTCGTGACTTCAAACGCCGCATCGCGAGGCTTTCCGAGCATAGAATGGAAGACGACAGACACATCGGGGATGGTCTTAAAGACTACAACGGACGTGTAAGGCTCGCCAGACGGCGAAACGTCGCAGAGGTAGTCATTTATTGATCTAGAGACCTGGCGAGCTCCGGACCATATATCTACCAGGCTAGGATCCTGAGAGGGCTGATCGGCCCGTGTGAGCTGCACTCGGGTAGCGTCGAAATACGTTCCAATCGCATTATCGGCGGCTTGACGAGGTAGCTTGAGCCATGGGCGTAAGCTGACTGGGATAATGCAGGTGAGAGCCTGCACGGTTGATGGAAGGTTGTCGAATAAGGCTGCGGCGACGACTGACGACAGAGCGGAGGTGACGGATAGTTTCGTCTCTTTGCACTCTTGGACGAAGGCGTTGGAGGCGCTCGGCGAGAGGTACAAAGATGCCCAGCGGGACTTGCACGGGATGTGGATGAAGGTACCCGTCCACTGTTTGAGGTCTGTTGTCGGAGAGGGAGGCTGACGCGGGTTGATTGGCATGGGATGCAATTCTTCCAGAGGAGGGAGAACCGACGTGTTCTCATCTGGCAGGATTATGTTCTCAGCCTTGTCGTCAGGCAAAGTAGAGGAAGACGCAGCCTCCAGAGCGTCACGGAACGCATTGTGGAAAGCGAGACCCGAGACCCCATCGCCAATGGCATGGTGGTAGATGAAGGAGGCCGTGAACTCGTTTCTCCCCTTGGATTGTAGGATAATCAGGCGCCAGAACGGCAAAGTGCCGTAGTCAGTCTTGAAGTCGGTGTTATGCTGCTCCTCGAGGATTGCGTCCAGCTCTTTGTCTTGTCCTTCGGCCGCGCTGGCTAACGGTACAGATCGTTCGAGAAAGGCAATGCTCCGACTGAGATCGATCCAAGGTAGACAGGCGAAGTGAGGATTAGGAGTGCCTTCATTCACGGGAATGGCGAATAATATGCGATGCTTACGGACCAAATCTCCAGCCGCAGCGTAGATGAGACCACGCAGGTCGGTTACAGCTGGAGACGAGGACTCGGATAGTTTGTAGTGGGCTGAGAGGCCGACATTGTTGAAGAATTCGAGATGGTGACAAGATGCCGAGACCTGCTCGAGTTTCCCTTTACGCATCAGATGAAGGCATCGTTCCTAGATGAGGTAATACCTAATGGCCGCAACTTTTCGAGCTCATATATGTCTGCCATCCCGGTGAGGCGGTCTACCTCTGTAAGCAAGGCTTTCGATATAACACTACGTGAGCTGAACCTGACGTTTTCGGAGCCAGGAGTAAGACACTTAATAGCGGACGAGCAAGATGGCCGACTAAGGCGACTGCCCGATGTTCAGCTCACAGTAGCCCGGTGATTCCCGGTCATCATGAGCTTGGGTGAATAGGCAGGCTATTTGGCCTCGGTCCGGTCCCAACCGCTGATAATTGCCTCAAATATGCTCCAATCCTTGACATTCACATCGGGATAGGGTCCTGGCTCCACTGGCTCCACTGTCTCGCATGTCTCATGCCTCCTCACCTCGTACTCGGAGATATCTCCAGGTCTTGAAATGCGGTGCAAGGTCGATATGAAATGTTCATTCCCTCATGTCAGAAGGTATCGTTTGCTTCTTTGGATTAGCTCCTTGTGGCTCGTGTCATTAGGAGCATTTAGTCAATTGGAAAGAAGACTCCCATACGAATCTAGTCAGTGTTGATATTGCCTTTCTGGTCAATTGCACATTGCCAGCTTGTCTGCAGCACATCCCTAACTTAATCACAACTGGCCTACGTTAGATCGGCATTGCATTGAAGATCCAGATCGCAATTAGAGGCCCATCACAGTGCATTACCATGCATCACTCCAACAGAATGTCTTACAAGGAAGCAGGGATCTCTCATCTCATCTTGGATATCATCCTCGAGTATGCTCTCAACAAGTTTGACCCTGTACAGGACCGATTGCAGGGGGCTGCGAATAACTTCCTGCCAATCATTGAACGATTTGTCGTTGCAGGCACGCGAATAGAGGCTTGTCTCCCTGCATTCCCGTTCAAGTCGGCGAACAAAGTATACAAGGTGCTCGGGGGCCTGCCCGATAAAGCTGAAGAGCTGGCCCTTGACCGTTTGAATACCATGTGCGCGCGTGTTCGGGAAGTATACTCGCCTGGCCTTCAAGTGACTATTATCTCGGATGGCATCACATACAATGGTAGGTTGTGACTCGGTTCAATCAAAACATGGCTAACTAGTCGAGCCGTGTGCTGTTAGACTTGCTATGCATATCCGATCAAGATACGTGGGCTTACGGAGAGGCTCTACGCAAGATGGCCGCCCAGAAGCAGTACAAATACATTGTTTTCTCCAGAATAAAAGACCTGCTCGATATCCCTCTGCCAGAAGAGATGAGCGAAGTCGTCTACGTCGCTAACTGTACCACTTTCCGCCGATTGCTCCTCAACAAGTATGAGAGAGTCGACCTTGACATCGACCACGAGATTGCCTCGAATCCTGATACCAAGCTGACCTACCTCGGATACAGGAGGTTCCTGGAGTCTGATCTGAAGTACATCTTCCCTCGAGGGGCGCATCGGTCTGCCCACAGCTACAAGCGAGATTGCAAGTATCTTGCTAAGCAGATGCTGATAAGAGGTGATGTGGGTGAAACGACCATCCAGTTATATTGGTATGCTCTCTGACGCTCATCCTCAATAGGCTTTTGCACAGGCAATCAGAATCTCTTTTCCTAATCATTTGCGGCTTTCCATTCACGAGTCAGTGGCCGGCACTAAGCTATCGATATCCCTGCTGAACACCAAGACTGGCTTCACCACTCCATGGCACTGCAGCGTCGCTCAGCTGGCGGACGGGCAGTGGATCAGCGCTCCGATGGGCGAATTCAGCAAGGACGACAGGCTGGAGCTCGTGTACGCGGACGGCCGCCCCAGTCACTTTAGGGAGAAGCCACGAGAGGGGGACGATTTCGGCATCAGCGAGACCACAGCGAGCTACCTCCAACGACCTAAACGACTCAGCGCCAGTGAATATCTCGGCGGACCTTTTACATCCGACCCCGTCTCACCCGGATTGTCTTCACCCAGTACTTCTTCCACCTCGTCTTGTGCGAGCATGGAAGGCAGCGCAGCAACCACACCGGAAACACACTCTCCTCCCACCTTCGCGTTGAGCGGTTTGGGGATCGTCGCGGAGGACAATTCAAACAATGCTTCAGTACCATACGGCAAAAGGCTCATCCCTCAGATCATGGACAGCTTGGCTGCCGCCGAGCCGGAACGTATTGTTTTCTCACTGACGACGTTTTCTGGCGATTCACTTGAGTTCAGGCACATTTCTGCTCGCGCCTTTGCCAACGCTGTTGACAAGACCGCTTGGTGGCTTTATAACCAGGTTGGCAGACCAGACTTCATCCAGCCTGTGGGCTACATTGGACCACGTAAGTTGGCAAAGAGCACCCGGCATGTTGAGCCTTGTTTGAGACAAAGTACTAACTTTATGATTGAAAAGATGATCTACGACACGTCCTGCTGACCTATGCATGTGTCAAAGCTGGTTACGCAGTAAGTCATTGAACCACTGCTTGGACTCGCCCTGCGTCTGTTCAATTGGCTTACGTCGCTTCACTTCCCGTAGGCCTTGTTCCTGTCGCCAAAGAACAGCACGGAAGGAGCACTTGCGGTGCTCGAGGCAACAGAATGCAATACCTGGGTCAACGCTTGCGACATATCCCCAGTCCCTCTGGTCAAGGAGGTCCTGCAGAAACGCCCCATGAATGTTCTGCAGCTCCCTCTACTTGATGAGCTTCTCGATGCCGTGTCTACCGACCCTTTTCCGTATACCAAGAAGTTTGACGAAGCCATCAATGACCCGTTTTGTTTCCTGCATACGTCTGGGACCACGGGAGTGCCCAAGCCAATACCCTGGTCTCACGGACTGATTGGCACCATGGATGCGGTACGACTGTTACCACGAGGGGGCGATGGTGATTTGCCCCCGTGGACAACTGACTGGAAGACAGGCGATACCATTTACTCATCTTTCCCCATGAGTCACGTACGTAATCGAATATCTTTCTCGCTGAGGTGATAAACAGGAAGAAGGTCTATTGGCTGACTGTATGGATAGGGTGCCGGTATTATTATGGATATTTTGATGCCCGCCCTTTTTAACCTGCACTGCGTCTTAGGACCAGCGGGCGTCCTGCCTAATATCAATCTGGTGGAAGCTCTTGCAGTGAATACTAGAATCGATATCTGGAGCATGGTACCGTCCCTTGTCGATGAGTTGGGAGAAACTCCCGGAGTAATGTCAAAGCTCAAGTCGTCCAAATTCATCTGTGCATCTGGCGGTCCAGTCAGTCCAGTAAGCGCTGGCAAGGTTAACGAGGTAATAAGAGTGCTGAACTTGACTGGTACAACAGAGGGTCTGTTTATTGGTAACCTCATACCACCAAGAGAGGATTGGTTCTGGTTTTGCTTCCATCCGTATTCCGGCTTTGAGTTCAAGCAAGTCGAGCCGGACACATACGAGCATTTGGTGCATCGCAACGAGCACTGGCCCCTGTTCCAGGGCATCTTCCACACTTTCCCCGAGAAGCAGTCGATTAATTTCAAGGACTTGTACATGAGACATCCCACCAAGCCCAATCTGTGGGCCTTCAAGGGGAGAAGCGACGATCTCGTCGTACTGTCGAACGGGTACAAGATATCGCCCTTGCAGACGGAAGCCTTCATCACGACCCATTCTGCCATCAAAGGATGCCTTGTTTTCGGAACTGGGAAGCCCCAGGCAGGTCTACTTATTGAGTTGAATGACCCTTTGCATAAGACCGACGAGCTCCTCGACAGCATTTGGGAAACAGTCCAACAGGCCAACTCCATGTCTCGGCACAAAAACCAGCTGCTGAGGGACTTTGTGGCTTTTGCAACACCAGATAAGCCCTTTTTCCGCACAGACAAGGGCACGGTGAAACGATCCGCCACACTGAAGCTTTATGCCGACTACATTGAGCGTTTCTACAGCTCACGCAGTGACGATATCGGTGGCACTTTCGACTTCGACATGAGCTCGACCCACTCAATTGAGGACAATGTTCGTAAGATCCTCGCCTCTTCGCTCCCTGATATCCAGGAGGCCTCTGCAGACACGGACCTGTTCGCCCTTCGGCTTGACTCTCTCGGTGCCTTTGCGGCCATCAAGACAATCCGGGCAGCTACGGGGCTAGGTGATCAGATTGGCCCTCGGCATATCTACGCCAATCCGACCATAGCCAGCCTCTCCGGTACTATCGCACTTCTGGCGGCCGAGGCGCAGAGTGCAAGCGAAACTACCTTATGTGAAAGACCAGTTGACAATGTCGGGGCCAAGATAGCGAGCATGATTGCCCAGCACAAGGCGCGGCAATCATTCAGCTTGAACGCGTTCGACTATGTCAACCCGAACCACGGCATGGGCTTGGTCTTGTACTTCCCAATACGCGACGGGGTCAGTTACGAGCAAGTATTTGCCAACCTGCAGGAGGGTCTCAACCGCACGTTTGATCTGATTCCAGCCCTCAGCGGCAAGATGGCGAACTGTTCGGAGCAAGTGATCGGCTACACCAAAGGAGACCTCTGCGTCACAATTCCGCCTCTTGCCAAGGCAGATTCTGCACGCAATCGTCTGGTCTACAAGGACCTCTCTGCTGTTCTTCCGTCATTCGACCACTTGCGCAAAGGAGGCTTCGCGCCGTCGGCCTTCAGGGACAGTCTTGTCTTACGGGACGATCCTTTCCCCAAGATGCCCGCCGATATCTTCGTAGGACAAGCCAATTTTGTGTCAGGGGGGTGTATACTTGCCGTCGACCTTAACCATTGCTGCCTTGACGGCCTCGGCGCCATGGTCGCTCTCAAGGCCTGGGCCGAGAACTGCAGATATTTGCAGGGCGATCAGTCGGCAACCTGCGGCTGGTATGACCCTGAGAGCTTCAACCACAGCTTGCCGGAAATTCTACATCAGCAGGAAGGCTGGGCCCGACCGCTTCGTGAGGTCGACCCTGGTACATGGGGCTTCCTGCCATTCTTTCCCCCGGACGATGAGAATAACACCAAATCCGAGAAGGCTTCAGAAGAATCTCTTCCTCCTCGACCTATCTTCCCGCTCCATCCAGTCTGGCCGCTGCCTCGCGCCGAGCGATGCCTAAAGACGACCATGTTCCTCATCACGCCTGAGAAGCTGGAGCTGATGAAACAAGACGTCATCGCCGACCCCTCAACCAAAGGCACCATCCCATCCATCAGCGACACCGTGCAAGCCTTCTTCTGGCGTGCCGCCATCAGGGCACGATACCGCGTAGCCACGGAGATCCACAAGCAGAAGTTCAGCCCCGACAACGTCTCCATCCTCGAGCTACCCACCGACATCCGCCCGCATTTCTCCTCCCGCCTCCCGCCAACCTACATGGGCAGCATGCTCATCCTCAACCGATCCAGCATGCCCATCGAGACACTCTGCTCCGCAGAGACCACCATCGCAAAAGTCGCGCTGTTACTGCGCCAGTCCGCCGCGCGCATCACCCCGTCGCTCGTGCACGACGCGCTCACAATCCTGCAGTCCCTTCCAGACCACAGCCGGTTTTCAACTGCCAACATGGGCCTCGAGCACATGCACGCCATGATCTCCAATATGATGCTCTTCCCGACCAGCGAGATCTGCTTCGGAGACACCTTCTTCGCGAACGGGGGCGTGCCGGAGACAATGCGGCCGCAGCTGGAGCGTGGCAACGGGCGGTTTCGATTCTTGGTTGTCTTCCCTATGAGGAAGGATGGAGGGGTGGAGCTTGTTCTGGGCACGCACCCAGAGGAGTTGGAGATGTTCTTGACGGATGAGGAGTTTACGAGGTATGCGGATATGGTAGATACCTGCTGCTGAGCTGCGAGTATTCCTTGGGTGGGCGGGTGTTGAGGTATTATCGCCTGGTGACTGGCATTATTCGGCAGCAGATCCCGACAGCTGAATACCGAAGCTAAGAGATATGGGTATCCGATCAATCCATATCCAATCCACAGCCAGTCTACACAACACTGCCACAAACTGGCAAACACTGCCAAACACTCTGCTGGTGGGAGGACTTTCAGTTGGACAACAGGCACCCTACTCCGCGGTTTGCAGTTACCTGCAGCTAGCAGAGCACGATGCACCACAATTGTTTTCTTCTCGAGTTGCGGTGGAAGATATTGGTTGACGGTCTGGTCATCGCCCGCTGAGCAGCGAGCAGTGAGCAAGTTTAGAGAGTCACGACGTCTGCCCGTGCTCAGGTCGAAAGATATGGCCATCTAGGTGTTGTCAAAGAGTTGTATGTGACGTGCTAATCAAATCAATGGCCACTCGCTTGTGGATTACCTTAGTTAAAATGATCATCGGAAGTATATAGTGTCTTCAGTATAACCACAGAGGAATCGGGACTTTTTTTGATTCCCTTGGCTCATTCCTTATATGTATAGGCTTTGCAACAATACAGATGAGTTTCGCCGTATGTGCTCCAATCCAAACACAACCACTGATGTACGTTCGCCCTGTAGAAGACGACCAATAAATGTATTGTTTTTTCTTTCCCATCCTCGCCCAGCTAACGGCATCCATCTCACTTACATCGTACTGAAGGCGGCCTGCATGGATGATGGCTGGTAGCTTCCCTGGCTTTCTTCAGATTCGGATTTTTCTTTTCACGTCTGGGGTCTAGTGCGTTCTATTAGCATTGCTGACCTAGAGAACTGAGACAACATACCCCGCTTCCGTCCAGCAGATGCGGCAGGATCTATTTCAGGATCCGAAGAATCCTTTGGTGATGCTGGCCGGATGAGGGCGCGCAACCAGAGACTGCTCCTGCGGTCACTCGACGGCCTTTGGTGACAGGAATCCCGCTGGAGACGAGGAAGGTAGGTACTCAGAGTTAGGCTGCTCAGGATCAGTGAATTCGGAGCTAGCCTAGTCCACGTCGAGTTCGGTGGTAAATCCGCTGCTGGGACCTGGGGGCGCTCGCTATCGAAACTGTGTGACAAATTGGTAGCTTTTACCTTACTGCTGGTACACCATCAACAAGACATCCTACAAAATATGGGGTCTTATCTCACCTTCTACTACTGCTACTGCTTCCTCTGCTTCTGTTGCTTCTTCGATTCCCCACTCTCGTTCCGAGGATATCTTTGCCTCCAGTTCTACTCACCTTCCTTTGATTGTGAGCCCAGTGAGGGTGGTAACTGTAACTGAAACGGTCAGTTGCACTGGAATAGCTAACCCACTGTCCATTAGATGTTCAATCTCAACATCTAATTCCATTTAGAAGGAAATTGGTCAATAGCAGCTCCCCTTGGTGCAACACTGCAGCCTTATTCACTGTCGTTGCTATGATGGTGTTACTGTAAATTATTACAAACTTCCCTACTCCTTACGCCGGTACTTTCCTTATTATTATATCGTTTTGGTAGACCTGTCTGGGTTATGGACCTTTGCTCCCTTGGTTTAACAATATTTGTATCTTCTAGCGCAATGTCCATGAGGTTTACAGGTACACAATGAACGACGTAGCTCTGGAAGTGAGAATGCTCTCCAAGCAAAGGGACGGAATTCCACATGATAGATCTTTAAATGAACGCAGTAACGAGGTAAAGAGGCTGCCTGGTAGGGTGCCACCCCACACCCAGCCTCGCATACTAGTGGAGATGACGAATTTGATTTTTGGTGTAGCTGACAGACACCAATCAGGCCACTTCCAACTATTACTGAATACATTATTGTCGATATTTCAGAGTCTAACCTACTTGGTCTTTACTGTGATCGTCGGAGGTATAGGACTTAACCGTGAAAACGGGACAGTCCAGAATCAACGATCGGAGCTCTGGGATGGTAATCCTCTTTGTAGGTTCGCATTCAAAAACGCGGCTCAGGATGCCGACCAGCTCCTCAGACAAAGGGAGAATGGACTTGAGGAAGAATGGATCCTTCCGATAAGCCCGGTACGTCGAATCCTCGATCGACGCACGCTTGAACGGGTTGCGACCACACGTCAGATTGACAAGGATGACACCCAAGCTCCACACATCGTTGGGGGCGGATGCGTAGCACGACATGGGTCGAGGATTTGATTGCTGGCATTCTACTTGTCGTATGAGGTGAGCACTGACTGTAGCAAAAAACAAGTACTAAGGAAACATACCTGGAGACATGTAGAATGTCGAACCGCAGCCAAAATCCGCGGTGAAGTCGTCCGTGGTCGCGAGGTTAAATCCGGCCAGTTTGACCGTCAGCCCCTGACCGGTCACCCAGATGTTCTCCGGATTGAGGTTACGGTGGTAAACTCCTAATGAGTGGCAATAATGGACAGCATCCAGCATCTGAAGAAAGACGCGTTTGGCAAGGGGATCATTGCCCACAAAGTTGCCCTCTTCAGTGATGCTGGAGAACAGGTCACCCTCTGGGCAGAATTCCATGACCATATAGGTACAGTCCACGGAATCCATTATATTAACCAGGGAAACAACATTGGGATGTTCGCTGACCCGATGGTGGAGGCGGATCTCGCGCTGCTGGAACTGGAGCTGCCGGGCATCGAGTCCGACCTTATTCAGTGCTTTGACAGCATACACCACATTTGTGTGGATGTCGATGCCCTTGTAAACCACGCCATCCGCACCGTTTGCAAGAATGCTAGTCAGTTCCAGCCGGTCGGCTAGAAGAAAACCTAGACGATCTTCCGGCGCCAAGATAGGTCGTATTGGGGATGATGGTGAAGGTGTTGACAATGGAACCATAGTTGGCTCACCGGTGACATGCTTGCCAACCGGACTATCAGTTCTCTCCTCACATGATCCTTGTATCTGTTCGGTTGTATTTTCCAGCGCAACATCAATTTCACTCACATCAGTTTTAGACTGGTGTGGCTCGCGACTAGTTGAAACGTTCTCAGACCATGCCTCCCACGAAAAGCTCTCCATTGAGGACCGCTCGGAACTGTAAGATACAATTTCAGGTCGGTCAGATAGCCCACTACCGAGTGTGGACTCATATCTACCGCTGGATGATTTAGGCAGTGAGAAGCAAGCTATACGGCGAAGATGGCCTGCGATATGGACCGGACTGGCATTTGGAGACAGGCACAGGGGGCAGTTACGGATATAAGCTCGATGGTCATTGTCAGGATCTGAGATGACGTTATGTTTTGAGGCTTCGTGGGACATCCAGTCGCTGAGAGTGTCGTACTGTTGATCTGGTTCTTTGCAGTCCTCAAAGGTGCAAACGTAAGGACGCAGATCGCGGAATATATGCGTTCTGGACGTAGGTCAGTCTGCATGTTTGCAACTACCAAGAAACTGTACTAACTCCCATGCCTCCTTGGTGATGAATTTACGGGGGCATATCGTGAAGCAATACGGGCATTCAAACTCCTTGGCATTTGAATCAGTCGCAGGGGGTGGTGGGATTGAAATGTGGTCACTGCTCTTGTCACCTGCTAGAATAAGGCATGATTGTGTCGATATGATGGAAGCCTCGTCTTCTAGTTTTACCCGGGCCACGTTCAGCATTGTAGCTGTGGATGGTTGCGATAGTGCAGATGGAGGTCCATGAATAACACGGCGTTCGCGCTCGAGGTGAATGTTGCCATTTTGGGAAGTTTTCAATGTCATTTCAGTTGACTTGGAATATTCCTCATATTTGACCTTGCGCTTTCTCCAGTATCGGAATTGCTGCCTCCGCCGCGTGTTTGCTCTTGCCAGGCGCTGAACGAGGTAGTGGTTCTTAAGATCATCAGGGTGCCGGTGACCAAAGCAACGGAAAAGCTCAACAAGATGGCTCAGGTCTAGCGATGCATAAACTTCAATCAGATTGACTCCTGTGTCTGGATCCACTTCTGTATACTCCAGCGCCTTGGAAAGACCAGTTCTCATGGCCGGATTTCGGATCTTGAACGAAAGACGGTACAGCCGATCGATAGTTACGGTGATATTTCCGAGATATGCTTTGGTGACTGGTTCGGATTGGTATGACGAGAAGTCCTCTTCTTCAGAGTCATCACTGCAGTCTGACTTCGCTATATTCTTGTCGTCTTCTGGTCTGGTTTCTTGCGCCGAAGCCACCAGAGCGTCACCCAAAGCACCTCTCACTGTGAAAACGGTTAACCGAGTGTCTGGCGAGTAATAGTTGGAGAATGCAGACGCTGTGATAATCCAGTCTCCAAGTCTCGCAACAGCTTGTAAGCATACCGAAAGAGGGGAGGAGAGTCCCGAAACCTATAATCGAGAGAACTATGTCCACCATGATAAAGGCCAAGACTCGTTGCCCACAGCTCGAACCGTTGAAGTTCATTTGTAAAGTTGTCTTTATCACCACCATCGACATCGATCAGGCCGTCCAACGCCGCAAACTGATTGCTGACTCTTATGCCGATTATGACCAGACTCTCAATGAGCTCTGGACTATCATCGACGGCCATCTTAGTAACCTGCCCAATTCCCACAATATCAACTCCAAATGAGTCCGAATGATATGTGTTTGAGCCCGTTGTCCATCAAAGGAAATGTGGATGAAGCGGGGCAGTTGCCATGCCCCTTCGTGTTCCCAATCAAAGAGCGCACCAGGAACAGGGGGTAACAAGGTGGGTTAATCAACTGTGTAACAAGGCTGAAGTAACCCCGCAGTAATATTTTCGACTTCTTCTCAGCCTCACCGTATCACCCTCCTTCTTTGAGTATGCTATCGTCTCGAAATGAGCGGCTTGGAGGTCGTCGGTGTCGTTTTAGGGGCGATACCGCTGCTCATCTCTGCAATCGAGAAGTACAAAACAACCAGCCAGCGGCTCAAGTTCTTCAAGTACAAAGAACCATTTATTGCACAATTGATACAGTCGTTAGAGGAGCAAAAGTTTTTCCTCGAGTCAGATCTCTACGTCCCGCTGAATGCAACACACCTAGGAGAGGAGCAGATCAATGATCTGATCCACCAACCAAATTCGGATCTATTCCAGGATCCTAAAGTTGCTCATGCCATCCGCGAATATCTCGGCGATGGATATGTACCATACGAGCGGGCAGTTGGTCGATGTCAGCGTATTCTGGCGGAGATAGCTTCTAATATTGGTGGTCTAGCATCTGAGTCGCAGGTACTCACGACTGCTATAATACTCCGAGATCGAAATTCAGACTTACTGACATTTATCGTCAGGGTAAACTCTCGAGTTTAATTCAGGCCCATCCCCCGAAAGATGGGAAATATGAGCTCACCAAGAAGATCAAGTTCAGCCTGCAAAGAGATGACCTAGAAAAACGGATCAGGGATCTCAACGATGCCACCGCCACACTACGCAGAATCCGAGAGACCTGTGTATCAAAGACGGAAGTAACTCTTCAATCCACATCTCGAATGATTGCAAAGTTTACCTCTGCGCTTAATGCTGTTCGGAATTATGCAGATCGATTATACTCGGCCATCTCGGCTGGGTATAACGTGGGTTGCCACCCTGAACATGAGACCAGGTTGTTCCTTCAGAGTCGCTCGGCGCTTATGGAGAAGAGACACACAGGCGCCAAGAAAACGACTGTTGCATTCACAGTGGCTTTTTCCCCAAGCAATATCGCCCCAAGTCCGATACCATGCTACAAAACGGACGTCAAAGTGCTGGAAGAAATGGAGAGTTGTTATGCGACGTATGCTATCCCCGAGACCAAACAACCAATTTTGTATCGAATGCTAACATGGTGTTTAATTGGCCAGTGCTAAAGCTGGAGAACATGTCAAGGTGGCCATCAGTCTACCGACAAAAACGAATATTTCCCCGCCTAAAGACCTAGAGGATCTCTGTGACTCAGTACAGCAAGCCAGAGATGGTGAACACTTCCTCGACCTCTATCTTTCTCAAGGCGGGTGCCTCTGCTATTATCATAAGCCTTTCAACGTTGGCGCCCTTGTAGATGCCATCGCAGACTCCACGGAAGATATCATGTCGTTGGAACAAATTCTCGGGAAGATGGAGCAGCCAAATGAGTCTTCGGCAATAATCCGGTGGACTCTTAACCAGCGGATGGCCCTTTCATTTAATATCGCATCATCGATCATGCAGTTAAACTCCACACCGTGGCTTTGCTTTCCGCTTACGTGTAAGTCGCTATATTTCACACGCCGTGTCGAGCTACTTTCCCAGAGAGGAACCGCCCAATACGCAGACATCCCTCAGCCCTTTATTCGTCAAATTTTCTTCAGTGGTGTAAAGGATTCAGCAAGATGTGCCTGCAATCCGAGAGGATCCATGCTTGAACTTGGCATTATACTTCTGGAACTATGGCATGCCAAAACTTTCGAGACATATGCCGTAGAGAGCGGTTTGAGGATCGACCATAGTTTCGGCAGCCGGTATGATGTGGCGGTACAGTGGCTTGACTTCAGTACTTACTATGTTCTACCATTCTATTTGGATGTTGTTACAAGGTGCATCGAATTCACGTTCGCGACGAGTCGCGCGGCGCCCGATTGGCATGATATCGCCTTCAGAAAATCTGTTTGTGAGTATGTCTTGAAGCCGCTTTGGGAGAACTGTCCAGCAAAGTTCCGATGAGTACACAGTCTTGTTGCAAATAAAGAAACTGTTTGGAACTGTGAGTGTGGAGTTAGCAAGGTGTTGGTGAGCGCCTCTGGATTAGTACCCGAGATAAAAGAACCAAGATATTTCAACTTGCTCTCAAAATCAAGTATAAGTTCATGCTGAGCACATACCAATTCGAGGCGGTGCTTTACAGCGATCAATTCCCTCCCATATGATGATCTGAATCATTCGATATCCCTACTATATAGTGATTTGGACAATCCCTATGTAGTAAAAATACTAAAATGGTATGGAAATGTAATGCTAGTTAGGCAGAACCCTAAGCAGTCTACATACTTAAACCCCTAAATACGTTATTTGGCTGATATTTGGTTTAGGAGGGAGATCTTCGCTTCTTTCCTCCCCAGCTTTGTTACTTCCGTTAGATGCCAAGCCCGTGACACCAAGCATTCTACAAAGACTGGATACATCCACCAGTTGGATCCTGCCATATTGAGTGACACCTGCTATTCATCTTGTTTGGCATTGATGCAGTTCAACTCTACAACAGACGGTGGAGAGCTTGATTACATGTGGAAGGTCCACCATCTATCGTAACACTTAATCTGCTTTAAATAGGAGCTGAGGGCATCCTGACCTATCTGCCTAAAGTATTGGCATCTAAATCACCTTCCTGTTTGGTACAGTGTCTTGTCCAAACCCTTTTTCTAATAGGGTGTATAACACTAGTAACTTTCAATTAAAAGCCCTTAGCAAGATATGTAGACCGGAATATAAATCAATGCAGTCATCTTCCAAAAGCTGCCTTTGCATTTGCATAACAGGTATAGGAAAAACCTAATTGTAGGGAAAAACCTATACCAAGGCAGAATACTATTCAGTTAACGCCCATTAGTAAATCCTGTCTCTTATACTCAGCGCCATAGGCGCAGTTTTCCACCGAATCCAGAAATAAAATCTTAACATTTCTTTTGGCTGCAATGAGCGACTGGACCGCAACAGTACGTGCAACCTGTTTTATAGCCTAGTACTGCCGTGGGGTTGAGGCAGGTGTATATAGCTTGCTCTTGATAGGCTTTAGTTTATGTTAGCAACTGATATAGTTAAATAGTACTTAATATTTGCAGTGGGGTTACCCATACAGCCTCCGTTACCCACTTCAGGGTGTTGCTTAAGATACCAGCCACAGTATTCCTTGCCCTGGGCACAGCCTGCTGCTGTGAGGGTAGCAGTCATCAAGCAAAGAGTGAGTAGAGAGATCTTCATCGTAACAGTTTAATTTAGTTAAATTCAATTTCCTTTAGGTGAATTTGAAGGGAGTCAACTTCTTGATTATAAACAGGTGAGAATGCTTCTTTTATAACATGCCTTCAAGGTTTAAGCAAAAGTTGGTTCAATTTCATAGCCCTATCGTTTGCGGAAAAGCTGGAAAAGCCAAGTTCATAATCAAACTTTCATTCTTAAATTCGTTTCAAATTGCTGACGGACGTCCATTATCTCACACAGTCACTATTACCACTATGATTCTGGGCCAGTCCCTTTGAATCAATTTGGTGTATTTTGGTATGGTTATAATAATGATGAAGATGATGGGGGGTGATGATGTTCGTACTGTTGACGCAAAACTTATTTATTTGAATCAACTGACCAGAGTCATAGTGGTAATGGTGATTGTGTGTGACAATGACGTCCGTCAGCAATTCTGAAATGAATGTGAGAAGCAGCGAAACATCGGAAAACGGCACATATATCGTCATCAACTTCCCGCCACATAGATATCTTCCTGTAGCTATGATATCAGGGTATTAAGGTTATGTCTCGATCGATTCGCTCAAGTCACCTTTAATTATAGAAGGTTGTCTGCTTCTGAACTGGTACGCTGGATAGAAGATGACCTAGGATACACAGAATGAGTTTGTTTGCCAAGTCTTTATTTCAACTATGAAGACACCCATGTCTTTCGGATCTGTGATCTTTCTGTGCTATTCTGTGCTGATTGTTCCTTCAGGAGATAAGCATAGACCATAGGAAAGAAACCCACGACCATCTGGTCTCGACCAGCTGTGGGGATTATGCCTTGATTTATGCACTACTCTTGAAAACTAGGTGTAGAAAGGGTTTCTTTCCACTTTTCACTTGAATATAGGTCCGGTTTGAAGATGGCCATGAGAATCTTATATTTCCTGGCCCTGACACTGTTGTTCGGAAAAAGTGATACAATCCCTTGGTTTTAGCTGAATTTCTCTGCTTTACAGACTCCTGGATAATTTAGTGTATCTTAGGGGAATGAGAGCTGGAGAGGGTAGTGCACCTGGCTATCCACTTCCATAAAGGTCAATAAGCTTGACAATGGTCACTTATTGCTAGCAGTGGTCATGTACTAAACAACTAGTAAGAAGTTGGCCACCTCTGTATTCTATATAAAACAATGCTTTTTACGCATTCTAGCACTGGGCTGGAGGGGCTGGGAGCTGAACACTATACAACAACACTATACAACAACATGAATGTAGAAAGAATTAGAAATAAAGTATGCATGCTACCGATTTTTCACTATCTTGCTGCTCTCTTTCTGTCTTGACAATACGGATGTTTTATCGCGCCAAGTTATTTGCAGCCCCTGACTCTTGCTCAGAGATAAAACGAAACATCGGCACCAGCTAGCTCATAAATAAAGGTGGCAGTCAAAGGGGTTTGTTCAAAGAGTTCTTTGTGAAGGAAACCAACTCCAAGGATTCCCATTACGTTTAGCTGCATGAAGGTAAGTCCGGACATGGATGAGGATTAGATGTAGGAGCGTGGGCCTCGCTCTTCCTTAGATGCTTTGGCACCACGACTTCGAACGGTCCTTCGAGCCATGAGCGTTTCCTTCTTTCGATTCCGGCGACGTCTGAGAG